TCTTGTACATATGCCGCACGCTTACACTTGCCTTGGCGACACGCCAAGAATATCCACCGATTACGGTGCTCCTGGTTCGGCGGTGCATACTGCCGGGTCATCTGAACTTTCAGATCGGCCCATGTTGGGAATGCATCTTGCAGTGATGCACCGCAATTGAACGCCCATTGCTTGGCTAATCTACCCAGATTATTTGTGGCAAAGCCAACACGGTACCGTTCATAGATGATGTCGGCTATAAAAATAGCCGACTAACTGGTCGGAACCAAAGCATAAGGTTGTCACCTTCTTTGCCGTCGAACTTATCGACTTCCATTTGTATGGGTTTTGGTTTGCGGGCCACTTCTCGCGCTAGGCCAACCGCTGACATCTCATCGATGTCCATTCTCGCACAGAGAAGTGTCGCAAAAGGGGATTGACTACAAGTGCTACCAAATGTAGCCAATCTACTCTGTCCAAGCTACTTATGAACTACGTGCAGGGGAAGACAAGCTCTAAGAGCTTATACGTCTTAGGGTTCCTAACCCTCCCAAGGCTAGCTCGTAAGCTTGTGCCTATCGGTTGTTACAAGCGGGTCTCCAAGAGACTTAGTATCAAAGATACAATTTCTTTAGAAGAAATAAAACGGCCAAGCACTTAAGCTTTTCAGAGCAGATTTGAAACTTATTTATACTATGTTAATATTCTAGCACTAAATATAGAAGCACCTATAAAGTGCTAGTCACTATTTACTAGCTCTGTTGCCTATTAATATGCAAGCATGCATAGTCACTATACTTATACTAAGTATAGTGAACACGTGGCTCTGCCACGATGCGACCTTTTGTACCTTAGGTACTGTCACATCACCTACTTTTGTACCCAAAGTACAGCCACACCACATTGGCGTGGCAGGTGTGTATAAAACCTTGTTCAACCCGGTTACACATGCTTCTGATATTGTGCTTCAACATTCTTTATCTGGCTCAGCCTGTTCTGTACCAATGTTCTCGTGAATTTATTTAGTAAGGGCAACTGGAATGTCGTTCATGTCAAGTTTGACGCTAACGGTTGTCTGTACGAGATTATTACCGCAAGGAAGAAAGCTCTTACATCTTGAAAATCCCTTTTGTACACCGGTACCCCCACCACCCTTCTTGTTTTAATTTTTTTTTGTTTTTTAATAGGCTGGTGGAGAAGCAGATGGATGCAATCGGTTGGTCCCACCTGGTAAGCGAAGCGGATTGGCCGCTGACTAATTGCAGCAGCTGCCTTGGGATTGCAGGGTGTGTTGTTGTGGGACGACGGCGAGACAATTTGGAATCAATTGGTATTCAAGTCATTGACGTTGTTATAGACCGGTCACGAGCAATTTTGGTCCTTAAACTTGCTGTGACGCCAAAGCGAGCGACTACTCGCGATCAACGTGGTATTGGTGGCGCCACAGATGGTTAGGGACGATAGTACGAAGTGAGGAAATTTCTTTCCAATTTGCAAGCTGGATAGAATGCTCCTCACTTTGCATCACCGCCTTTTCCGGCGTTCCGTATGAGCTACAAAGACGCATTGCTAGTGGTATTGTGCTTCAACATTCGTTATCGAGATCGGCCGGTTCTGTGCCAATGTTCTCGAGTATTTATTTAGTAAGGGCAATTGGAATGTCGTTCATGTCAAGTTTGACGCTAACGGTTGTCTGTACGAGATTATTACACCCAGCAAGGAAATAGTGCTGGTGGAGAAGCAGATGGTTGCAATCGGTTGGTCCCACCTGGTAAGCGAACGGATTGGCCGCTGACTAATTGCAGCAGCTGCCTTCGGATTGCAAGAGTCTGTTGTTGTGGGACGACGGCGAGACAATTTGGAATCAATTGGTATTCAAGTCATTGACGTTGTTATAGACCGGTCACGAGCAATTTTGGTAGCTTAAACTTGCTGTGACGCCAAAGCGAGCGACTACTCGCGATCAACGTGGTATTGGTGCGCCACAGATGGTTAGGGACGATAGTACGAAGTGAGGAAATTTCTTTCCAATTTGCAAGCTGGATAGAATGCTCCTCACTTTGCATCACCGTTCGGCGTTCCGTATGAGCTACAAAGACGCATTGCTAGTGGTATTGTGCTTCAACATTCGTTATCGAGATCGGCCGGTTCTGTGCCAATGTTCTCGAGTATTTATTTAGTAAAGGCAATTGGAATGTCGTTCATGTCAAGTTTGACGCTAACGGTCGTCTGTGCAAGATTATTACATACTTTACGCGTATTGACTAGTCGTAATGACTAGTGCCATGCATAGCCTCGTCGTAGCAAGGCGCGCAAATAAGGTGTCTTGGGTAAAGCAATGGATGTTTTACACTTCTTGGATTCGGGTTGTTCGTCTAAATAACTATGAAAGAATTTGACCGATATCTTAAAACCCCACACTTTATTTCCGGCCGATCTATACGCCGATCCCTACAAGCAATACGTCTTTGTAGCTCATACGGAACGCCGGAATAGTCTTCGTAACACTCTATAGACGAAATTGTCTAAATCCACAACAATACGCATAGGGTCATTCAGGTGGTTGTCTGGCAATCAAATGCATGCATACATCTGTTATCGTGGTAGGCCGCGCTCGGGGTAAGAATCATGATCTCACTTTGCAAAATTCCACAAGCAACGGAAGTACCTTCTCCAAGCCAGACCAGCAATATGCGCTTCACGCTCGCCATGACGTTTCTCGCAAGCTCTGCCCTCGTGTCTGCAACACTTGACCCAGCCCACTCCAACACCCAAGGCATGTGCCCGGAATCGTACGGGTGCGCGCCGACGAAAGTTTCTCAGGCTATTCAGGCCGCTGAGTGTGCGTACAACACCCGCACCCACGAGAAGCAGACCTTCGCAGTATTTGTGAGGGACGATCGGTACAACACTAGCCATGGCGCTCCTTACGGCACCTGCCTTGCTTACACGTGCGATGCGCCAAGTTTGACTCAACTGGTCAAAAATGACAGTTGCTGGACGTTCTACTGGGAGTAAGTCATTTCAAAAATCTCTTGCAACGTAATCGTGTTTCTAACATGCGTGTGTATAACAGTAACAACGGTAAGGACAGTGGTGTTGGAACCGGTTGCATCAGAGATTCAAACACGGGCGAGTGTGGCTGCGAAAGATCAAGTGACGGCAAATTTCTGGTCGGCCGAGACGACTGCACGTAGGATGATTTTTGGTCAATGCCGTGTCGGAGGAAGCCTTTGAGCTGGAAAAGCGAAGAAGCGACAGCTTTGCAGTGAGCTGTTTCGAAGCTCAAGGGCAAAGTTGTGTCTGAGACGGGACAATCCTGAGTTTGTGATGTATGTTCAATGAAAGAGTTTTGTGGCAGTAATCATACTAATGCCTATTGAACCAGTTGTTCGTTTTGTTCGTTGTATCTGTTGACGTTGCATACCGGTATCGTCGTGCTTCTATGGAGTACCGGTACACGTGTCGCGACTTTTCGTTTGATGTCCTTCTTTGTTACTTACACCATCGTTCAGTAATCATTCATTTTCCAATAGTACCGTTCATATTTTAATTAGAGTATGGTATCTCGTTTACTCTCCGTACCGGTACTTCCAAGGCGGATTTTTGCCGCGCTCTCGCTGGTTACTGGGGGGTATCTACGTGGCTGACGAAGCTAATGCGTAAGTAAAAACTGCTACGTCTCATACGTTGCAATTCCTTATCAACTTACCGGTAAATTGCGTCTTCACGAAACAGGAAAATCTTGTCCCGTTCGCTGCGCGTTTTTGTAACAGGAAGTCAAGTTGTTTGGGACTACCAGATTCATTTCAAAGGCACTGAAAGAAATGATTACGACTACCGTTCCAAGCTGCATGATCTCAATCAACGCATTGCCCAACGACTCCTTCACTTGTGCTTCCAGAACGGAGGAATTTACACAAAATTTGGCCAGCAATTAGCCACGTTCAACCATGGACTGCCCAAGGAATATACGGAGACTTTAGCTCAGCTACAGGACCAAGCCAAACCAGTGTCATTTGAAGAGATCACACAGACTATCGAAGCAGAGATGGGACGGCCTTGGCAACAGAGCTTCAAGGAGTTGAACGAGACTCCAATTGCTTCTGCATCGCTAGCTCAGGTGCACCATGCGTTGGATCACCAAGGACGTAAACTGGCTGTGAAAGTTCAGTACCAACATTTGGAGTCACAAATGAAAGCGGATATCCAAGTAATCAAGTGGGCCTTCCAGTTGACAGAGTATTATTTTCCTGACATTCAAATCCAGTGGCTCTTTCCGGAATTTAAGGAAGCTCTCTTATCGGAGGTACGTTTGTCTTAGCAGATCGCATTGTTCGTGGTAGCATGTCAAGGCATCACGCGGTTTGAGTGTTTTGTAGCTGGACTTTGAAAACGAAAAGGACAACAGCCGGCGCATTGCAGCTTGCTTCAAACACAATACCGGCGTTCATGTGCCAATCGTATACGACGAGCTAAGCACGAAGAGAATGATGTCAATGGAATTTATCAGTGCACCAAAGATTTCGGAAGTCGATGCAATCCGGAAACTTGGCCTTGATCCACCTGAAACTGCACGTGCGCTGTGTGAAGTGTTCAGTGAAATGGTCTTTTGCCATGGATTTGTCCATTGTGATCCACATGCAGGCAACATTTTTGTACGTCGCAATCCTGATCCTCAAGCCAAGCGTAAAGAACAGCTCGTCTTACTTGACCACGGACTATACCGCGAGCTGGACACTGAATTCCGCAAAACATATTGTGACTTATGGAGAGCAATGCTAATGCGCGATAATGCTCTTTTGGACGACTGCGGCAAGAAGCTGAACGTCGGAAAACTTGCAAAGTACTTACCGTTACTGTTTACGTACCGAATGATGCGTCACAAGGGACGCCTGGACGCAGCAATGAGTGAGCCCGAGCGCAATCGACTTTATGATGATTTCAAAAGTGTGCGTTTTTCGAATGTATGTAGGCGAATGTTTTCGATGTTTGCAGATGTTTGTGTGGGAGAGGTTTAACTTGCATCATCATGGTACGCAGGTCACTGACTTCTTAGAGCACCTTCCGAGGGATATGCTATTTATCTTCCGAACAAACAATATGATTCGGGCTCTAAACAAAGACTTAGGAGGAACAACGAGGTGTGAAGTTTGTAGTGTTGTGCTGACTATAATCATCCCTACTGACCAAATTTGACTTGCTATAAAAACAGGGAACGATTTTCGATCATGGGAAGCTATGCCGTGAGCGGGCATTCTGCCTTTCACTTCGCTTCTGCTGAAGCAGGATACGGTAAAACGTGGGCATTGCTGGGCTATTGGTGGGATCATTTCCGCTTAGTCTTACGTTTCCGCATGGTTGACTATTTAATGGCTGCAACTCAGTATGTTATGGAAGGAAAACCTACCGCTAAAATCAAATGCGTGGGCTAATAGATTGATTCAAGTACTACTCACACAAGGCTGCAACTATAAACATGAAAACAATTTCTTTGGACATGTTGGATCACCATCATTGAATTAGTTTACGTGAAGGTGTTGAAAACAAGGCAATTGGTTACGGGAACTAAAAGCTCACGCTTTATGTGCTGGATGCGACCGAAGATATGGCAGCTGTCTCGTTCCTTTCGGATCAAGAGCGTAAGAACGGTGTTAGAGCTGCCCTTTTGTTACGAGTTTTGAACGCGAGTTGCGTCGGGGATCATAAAGGGGATGATATACATATTGATGCTTTCAGGGACTGCAGAACGTGGAAACAGAGTCGATAACTTCAATGGCTTGTGCAGTACCTTTGCTTTGAACAGGTGAAAATTGTTTATCACCACGGTTTAACGTCACAATGTCCAACCGGACCAAGAGGTACGATCACACCACCCATCGAATACCTTACATCAGGCGCGTATATGGTGGTGATCTTGACTGAATGGAATGTCATAGATCTTGTGCATGATCATGACTTCATAATTACAGAATCTCAGTGTATATAGTACTAATCTCTGAAGAAGGAGTGGATTTATTAATAAAGTTTACTACTAGAAGAGTCATTAGGTGCAGATAGATTCAAGTACAATGCGTCTCGTAATCGATACTGATGCCGGTGTCGACGATGCAGTAGCCATCCTTATGGTCCTTCGTGCCTTTTCTGACGATCAAGTCGTGGGTATTACCACTGTCTTTGGGAATGTCGACTTGCATCAAGCGATTCATAACGTTGAGCAGTACGTAGAGAGAGTTCTTGACATAGTTTGGTGACGGTTAACCCCACATTTTCAATGTATTTCACAGCATTCTCAAGGCCACAGGACGTTCTAATATTCCAGTGTTCAGTGGAAGGTAAATGAAACTATTTGCGTAGTTACATTCCATCTTATCTATCGTGCATTACTTTTTTGTAGGGCCATGGCCTGGATGGCCTTGGTGGTGAATCTGGTAATGTCGAGCCTTCGCTGATGACTGCAAGGCGCAATGAAGCTGCGCACGCGCTCGTCGATCTGGCACACAAATACAGTGGCGAATTGGTGATCGCACCACTTACGAACATTGCACTGGCAATTCTACTGGACCCAAACTTCATGTTAAGCGTGAAGCAGCTCGTGGTTATGAGTGGACTTTCGCGCAATGATGGTACCCATACTATTGAGTTTAACGTGGGCTGCGATCCCGAGGCTGCAGACTTCGTTTACCAACACGGTACTGCCAGAACGCTGTACGTCATGCCATGGAGACGTGCTTGGACAATTCGATTCCATGGAACACATTTGACAAAATTTTTCATGAGAAGGCCAACTCGAATGGCGAGTTTATCAAGATCTGGAAGCTTGCGCGGACCTTTTTCGAACACGAAGGCTTCTCTCCTTGTGGCGCTTACACTATCGCCATTCTTCTGCATGCGGAGTACATCAAAACCGCGTCTGCATTGAAGGGCCACATCCACTTGGCTCCAGATGAGAAGCGCGGAGTCAGCGTTTTGTCCATTGGAGAAAGCCAACGTGACTCTTGTGACCGACATCAACATCAGTGTCTTTGTAGACTTACTACACCACCTAGCCGCCTAAGTGTAGATGAAGACAGGCGTCAGATTTGCTAAACATGCGTCTATGAAATATGTATTACTTCATAACAAACCCTGTCGATTGTAGTGTGATATCGCATCGAGAGATTATGTTACAGCAGTGACAGGTTTCTCAAAGATAGCGTGCACCCAGACACGGAAGCGAACAACATTCTGCTGTCGGTTGGCATACTGGCGACGGACGTATTCGTTCTTCACTGAAACAAGACCTGCCTCGTTGAAAATATCCTTCACCTCGTCCGTTGTAAAGTAGTATGCCCTCGTGTTATCTTGACGGACGTAAAAGTTGTCCTGCAGCTTGCAACCGGGACGAAAACGCAGCTGTGCCTGGTCGTATCGGCCATAGTCCCGAAAGAAAAGTTTCCCTCCAGGTTTGATCGCAGCCACAACCTTCTTTACTGCGTCGTTCATCTTTTCTGGATGCAGAGCTGATAAGCAGAACAAACAGAGCGCAAAGTCAACGCCACCGTTGGCAAACGCTGCGTCGGGTAGTGCGTCCTTCGTGATGTCGCACACTGAGGCCGTCACACGATCTTCGTTGTACAATGATTGTTTCTACTTTACACATGCCACAAGTAAACGAAAAAGATAAGACATAGCCTCTAGTTGATGAATTACTGAATAGGTCGAAAGCGAGATGAGAGAGGGAGAGAGCGAGAAGAGAATCCGGACCTTCAATAGCTCAATAGCTGAATCGGCAAAATCAATGGCCACAATATGAAGACCTGGATTAATTTCTAGCAGAGGAAGTGCTGCATTACCAACTCCACTGCCAACCTCTAAAAGTGTCTTGGTGTCACCATTCTCGGGTATTTTTCCAAGCTCTTCAAAGACCAAATGTAGGTAATGTCGGTCCTTATAAAAGTTGGTCGAGTTGCGTTTATAAAATTTATCCCAGCTCTTTGCTGCCTCCTGCTCATACTTTTCTATATCACATAGGATACAAACAAACAAACAAAACACACATTGCTTTGAACCATGAGCATATAATGTACCATTCCACATTGAGTTCGAACCACCCACACCTTGCCAGAAGGTGGATATTGTCGATGTATCTCGATTTAAATGTTCCTGTGCCAGTCTCTCACGTTCTTTTGTCCATATATCATCACATACGACTTGGTTTGGATCCTCTAATACGTATTTCTTAATCCCTGCTTTCTCTACCAATGCTTCTAATGTTTTGTTTGTCAACTTCTGCTTTTCACTCATTTCTTCCAACAACCACCGAAACCAGTCAAAAAAAAAAGACACCCACACACCCACACACTTACTCAAGCATTTAGTCACTGTATACTAAAACTAGTATCCCAAAAACAACTGTCGCATTTGAATTGGTCGAAAACGTTTTCAAAACCAGTTTGAAACAAATTCGTATGGATATCGTAACGACGTCTAATTTTCACGCGACGCTATTACCAGGTCCGTTTATCTCCGTCCTTTTAACTGTATGAAAGGATTCCAAGACATGGAGTGGTTATATCGATGGATCTAATGACTTATTCATGCTCTTTGTAGGTCATGTAAGTGTCGTGTTTATACCAGCTAAACATGTTCGCAATGGCAGCTGGTCGCTGCTCAAGTGCGTGAGTTGTTAATGTGCGCATTGAATTAGCGACAAAAAGAACGAGTTGAATCAATCAAGACAAACTAACGTTATAATCTTGTCTACGTCTCTCTCTCTCTCTCTTGTATTTGTCTACGTCTGTCTGCGTACGATTCGTTTGTTAGTCTTTTGCTTTATAGTGGCTGTAGCTTTGATGAAAATGAGGGCAGCTGTATTCGGAAGGAGAAGCACGTATGTCGCTCTATGCAGACAGAGATCTTTTCGATTGGTTTAGACCGTGAGGGTGCTACAGTGTTTATGGACCCTAGTGGCATTGAAATGTTTAAGCTTGCGGTACAGAACCACCGACACTTGACATGTCATGATGTCGTAGTTTGGATGTTTTGAGATGTATTCTTTGTCCATGTTCATCGTAATGATATCTTGTTCATTTTGTAGGGCATGGGAGACGTCATTACCGTGGCACCGCTCTTGTGGCGAGCTATTCAGGTACGTACTCTAAAGCTAAGATTGTTGATGTCATGAAAGCATGGCTAAGTGTATATTGTATGTGCGTTGTTGTATCGTGTAGATCCACTTGGGACCTATGGTGGCAGAGTTTCCAGGTGTTGTGAGTTTTCTGTCCAAGTTACTTGCAGACGATCGCATAAGTATCCTCAACATGAGCACGTACGACACAGACGTCATATTTGTTCAAGAGGGCGATCTGGAAGCTGCAATTTCGTGCTTGCAGTCTATGCTGTCTCGAGGATTGCACGGCTTGAAGGAGGTGCAGACCTGGTTTGCAATTGTTTGTTGCCGTGCTTGCGTAACTCACGAGTTTTTGTACGACGGCCGCAGGCTAAGGACGCAGAGAGCGCGCTATCCAACCGCCGACAGACGTCACCTACTGATACTGCCAAAGGTAGCAACGACGCGGTGCCTCCTCGTGTCGGTGATGGACAGTACCTCACAGGTAAGAGGTTTATGCTACGTTTTTCTTTCGCGTAGATATCGACTTACTAACCACAATACAATTTCATATGCCGCAGTGTACCCGGAGTCCCTCGTTCTCGTGAGGCTTCAGAAGGATGCTATTCGATCGAGTGCTTACGGACTCACGCAGCTTGTCCTGCTGTTCACTGGACCAGCCTCTGGAGAAGATGGGACAGGTGGAATGTCTTTTTGGTGCTGCTGCGAGACAGCGGAAGAGGTGAGCCTTATCATGGACGAGCGCCGTGTGCCATCGTTTGAGGAAGACTCGCTGATCGTATCGCCAGATCGGTGGCGCGCGATTAAGCTTAGTGGGCGTGCGTATGGGTTTGATGAAACTGGTGTGGTGGCAGCCATGTCGGGCTGCAGCACGGACACGCAGGTACTTAACGTAAGCTGCTTCGGCTCTAACATTGCATTCGTGCTTGACGACATGCTAGACGATGCCATCGAGACTCTCTGCTCGTCACTCGACATTTCTCGAGTAGAGAGATGGACATTGTGATGGACCGACCCAATTTGGACGGATACCTTGGCACGCGCTGTAGCGTCGAGCGTCAGAATAGGTACAACAGAAAACAACTTCGAATAGTACGGGTCACATCGTGTTGCGACCGGATGTGTTTGGAGGGTCCGTACTACAGAGGGGTAAAAATCAAAGAATATCACACTATGTTTAACAAGTACCATGCCAAATGACAGACAACGGTAATCGGCCTCAGACGTCCGTAATGCGGGCACCATAATACACAGCTCGCTATAGGAAGATTTAGCGCTCCTTAGCAAACCTCTACAGCTCTACACCCTCTTGCTTTCGCTTCTCCGCAAGTAACATAGTCCGCCTCTCCTTCAATGCACCAAGTTCACTTCTGATGTCGTTCCTTCGAGCATTTATCTTGCGTAGAGCATCGCCCTCAGGTTTTTGCGCTAGGCTTTTCGACAGCAAAGCTTGTTCCTCCTTCAATGTCTTAATTTTTGCATCCACCTCGCTCAAAGCCGTCTCCATCTGCAGCGACCACAAAAGCCAAATCAGTATACACACCAAATATCACTTCACTAAAGAGCGAGTGCTTACCTTCATCTTGGACTTAAACTTCAGGTCAGCCTTCTTTTCTACCACTTGGTTGAATAGTGCCTTGCTTTCCTCTTCAACGACGAGACGGTGCTGGCGTACAGCTTCCAACTTAGCGTGGAGCTGTCGCACCTTATCCATTTCAGTTTTCAAATCCTTGGCAATAGGATCCTGTGAATCCACATTGGCCTGGGCCTTGTGCTGCTCCAGACGCTTCTTTGCATCCTCCACTGCCGCGGCAAGCTGTTTGTTGTCACGCTTGTAACGCATACGCGCAGTCGCAAGAGCTTTGGCTTTTTCCTCAAGCGCTTGGTTCTGCGCTGCTGTTTCCGCGTTAAGTGCGCGTTGTTCTTCGTTCTACACAACAAAAAGAGGTTGCATGCACAGCATTAATAATGTTGCTCACACGCTGGCTACAGAGTGAACAAAGTACAAGATGCGTACCGCTAGCATATCTTTTTCAGTCTGTCAAGTTTGCACAACAAAAAACATAACGTTGCAAATCTATGTAAGGAATGTTCATCTTCGTCAGTAGGAAATCAGGAAACGTACCGCTTCCTTGCGCAAAGCTTCTACTTTGACACGACGCTCCGATGCAGTGGCTTGCAGGGTTTCATTTTCCGCCCGAATCTTCTTGTACTGTACCACGAGCGCATCAAACTTCTTTTGCTGTATTGTAAGCTCTCTAGCCTGCTTATCGTGCTGAGCACGAAGGTCTTTCTCCAGCGTTTTCGCGCGTACAGTAGCCTCCCTAATCTGTTCCTCAAGGTTGGCAGTCTTCTCGCGCATCAATTCTTCAGTGGGTGCATTTGCCACGTCGTGTGCGTTCACTAGCCACATAACATCCGTCAAACTAATGCTCTGGTAGTCTTTCGTGTTGTCTTTCTTTCCGCGCTGAGCAAAGTTTACATTCACTCGAAAGCCCGTCTGTGTTTTTTGAGCAGTGCGCATGAATGGATCATCGCTATCATCCAACATATAGTCATTGCCATGTCCGCTGGTCGAATCGGCCCAGTTATTTGAGTTGCCCGATAAAGCTAACGACTTTGTTCCACTAACATCTGTAGGAGACTGTGGCGCGTTTTCGTCCACAGGCTGCCGGTAGCGGATCCATCGACGACGACGCACAGCATCAGTGGGGTGACGCGAGGCGTGACTTAGATCGTCACCAAGCAGACGCACAATCTCGACAAAATCAGCAGCATATGTCCATCCATCGCGGTCCACCGCTGTATAATTCTGATCAATTTCCCAGTCTGTGACCCATTCATGACCAACAGGAAGATCTCCTTCTGGCTTTTCGTCTTGTCCACCACCAGGTGCGGCATGGCGGTCACTAAAGTTTTTGGGATCCATAGACTGCAGCTTCCCTTCAAGACGTTCATTCTCAAAGATCTCTACTATGACTTGACCATCACGGTCAACATCGTGCGATCCCAATCCTCTCGATTGCAAACCTACTTTGCCCCCAGGAACTACTGCAGTGCTCTGCAATGACGTCTGTATACTTCGATTGGCCTGGTTTACGAGTGCGACCATACGAGAGACGCCAAAGAAGCTTCCCCCTGCGGCTTTTCCAGTATTTGGTACTTCCACGCCTACATTACAAATATAAAGAAGAGTCAAAAGAAGAGAGAGAGAGAGTTAGACAAACAAAGCCACAAGGACCCAAGACAACTAAGGTTTCCAAAGTGGTATCTCTAGAAGATAAACGCTTCTACACTTGGTTTCTCCTTTGCCTTCATGGGTCAAATACTAATGTGTGTTTGTCATGGACACACGATACAACAATTGATACTACTCTCAGAATCTCAGGCTCTATAGTAGTTTTTGCCATCCTAGGAAGGAGAGAGAGAGTAGATTGTCCGAGTTCATAATAATAGAAAAAAAAGCTATTACCTGGAGCTCCTGAAGTGCCACTTGTATTGGAATTAGCCGTATGATTAGCAGCTGCTGTAGCTGCTGCATTCTCTACACTGCTATTTCCTGGTAAAATACTTCCACCACCACTAATACTGCTCATGGCGGATGCAGCAGCACCAAAGAGACTGGAACTTGCACTAGCTGCACCATTATTGTTATTACCTCCAGAACCACCACCAAGTCGTAAACGTGAGATCATTGTACTAATTAGAAGAAGAGATAGAGATAGAGTAGGATATTAATAGAAGAGAAGGAAAGGGAGTGAAGGAATGAAGGCGAAGAGACAACAAAAAAAAAGGTCTTGATGAATAGATGCCTTCTTAGTAGCTTTGAGCTTGCCCGTAGAAGAGAGAATGAAGGTCAATTTACTAGCCACATGTCGTACGAAAGTAACATTAGATGTACCCATTTCTACAAATAGCTACATTGTTGAGGTTTTGTGTCTACTATGTATGTCTGGTTGTAGCTTGTATCTGTCTGGCCCCAATAGCGTCAAGATCATGTGTGCGTTTCGTTACTGGTATGAAGTGACAAGTCCATTGTTTTTACATTGGCTCGAGTGCTTGGCAAGTTCTCTGACTCGCCTGGAAGGATCGAGTACTGTGTCTTCTTGAGCTGAAGTCCACGCATTGGTATTTTTGGTGTCTTGGATGATAACGAGCCACTAGAAGTGATCGTGATGGAGGATGTAGCTGAATCGTCAAAGTCATCATTTTGACGCAGATCAAACGTGACACGCTTCTTCTCATTGTGTTTCGTAGGCCTGCCTAACTCCGTCGAACACGAGTCGGAGGCTGAATCACATGACTCGGTTACACCCTTCGTTGATGGAATCGTATCAGCATTGGCCAGTGGATGGTGGTAGATATACATTGAGATAATGAGCACCGTGAGTCCACAGCCAAATTCAAGTGACGGTGAGAAAGAGAAGAAGAGCATTGAAAAGAGCATCGTGAGCATCATTGCCATGGAATGAGAATAAACACAAGCAATATTATCCATGTACTTGAGAATAAAGCCCATTCCAATGCCGCCAATACTGTTCACAGCCACTACGGCTATTGTCCAGTTGTTGTAGTCATGGAAAAAGCCCTTGGAGTAAATTTCATCACCTTCCACTAGTAAAACTCCAGCAGTATTAAAGATGATGCCAAAGATGTACATCTGCATATTTTGCCATAGAAACGAACAGTTTGACTTTCGTTTGAAAGCCCACTCTGTAAAGACACTAGCACATGATGAAAAGGTGATACCCATCAACACTAGTAACACACCAGTAAGTAAGTCCTGGGCACTTTTAGCTGCAACAATGTCTTCCATGGACTGCATCCCGTTCACGCTGCCATTATCACTGCTATTCTCTGTAGCCATTGTGTGTTTCGTCTCCCGCAGATGACTCGACTCGCTTGTGAGCACACCTACCACAAGCAACACAATGGCGATTTTTCGCAGCTCAGACAGTGGATGCTTGAGCACAAAGCGGAAGAGAATGGCTGTGACTACAATCTTGAGATTCCAAAGCACAGAGAGAGTGGCAGCATCCATGAAGCGCAAGATGATGTAGTTGAGATTATTGTCAATAGTGTAAAGGAATGAAGGAATGGCGTAGTAAAAGACCTCGAGCGGCACAAAGTGGGCAGGTGGCGGTGTCTCCGTCAAGACGATCGCACTGAGTACAATCACCAGCTTGAGGACTTCAATGAGTAATGTAACGGTCGTACTGCTGTACAGGATAGCACCATCTTGCTTAGATGCGCTGATACACAAGTTGCCCGAACACATGAGTGTCGCGACAGCCAGCATTCCTGCTAGCATACTTACAAGCTTCATTTGATCGTGAGGTTGTATATGTGTATGGTGTGGTGCACAAAGCAGCATGGAAGACATCTTAATCTTTACACGACCGTCCATGATTTCATCAGGTTAGATGTATCAAGAGAGATCGTGAAAGCGTATCGCGACAGCGTCGTGTAGAATCAAGCGCTGATATGATCTGAGGGTTAAAGTGTAAATGCAGCAGTTGGAGCTTTCTCTCTAGCAAGCTTTCAGATCTCTTGACATATTTGCAACGACGTAGCTAGCAAACCAAGCATAAGAATATCATTGCAATGTGGCAAGAGCTGAAGACACCTGAACTCCAAGAAGAAGCTTGGTAGTGTTTCATTTTCCGAGCTTGCTCCAGTGCTACTAAATGCTCAAGCTGGACTCGAAACGACCATGCAAAGGCTCTATAGAAGTTGTTTGTTGTCATATCAACTTCCTGATACGTCATCACTCTCACAAAAGATCACGACAGATGTTTGGGACCAACCTCTAGAGATATTTGTCCAAAAGCAGTGTACATTCATGGTATACGACGCCACCGCTGTACAGGAGACCAAAGAATGGCGATGGAAATGGCCTGAGCCAACAAACGTGATGTTTCGAGAGCGGACTGAAAAGACAGACGCCATTATTGGAAGACACATGTCATCAAATTTAAATGACTCGCCTACGGGCCATTTCCTTACCAGATTGTAGAATTGTGTTAGTGGACGTTCCTGTGACGATCAAGTAATGTCCAGTGCCGACTTCGTGTTGCACAGAATTCAAGGATACAACTCAATCGACTAGAGAAGCTGATTGATTAACCGTGCTGCAAGAAAGTGTAGCCAAAAGAAAACAGCTGTGCGTTCAATAAAGTGCTTTAAACGCTCAGTCGCTACCTTATTATCGTCATGCTCCGTCCATATTTCTAACTATCATTCTTATGTACCATTTCTATACGAGCTGTAAAACGAGACATTGATTTTAAGTGGTCGCGTCTTTGAACTGCATCGCGAAGAATGAGAAGAGACAAATTGGAATTAGCATGTCGCAAACAATTGCAATTTATCCGAGAAAAGTCCGGCAGGTTTGGCTTTTTGCAAAAACCGATATAATCTCAAATATTCGATCGAAGCGCTTTCATGGTGATGAAGAACGTTCATACAAGTCTATTTTCTGGGCCAGTTTTTTTCATACCGTCCAAATACCATAAACTACTTTAACACTTGATAATTTCATGCCTTTTTTTATTCTAGACGACGCAATTGAATCTTATTTCGTGTCGTATTTAGACAAAAAACGTACTGAACAGAAGTAAATATTCATTTAAACAGCCGAGAAAAAAACAAAATCGGTGTTGTATGTAACCTGTAACACGCAATGTCGCACAACTGACAGACGTGTCTTTTAACTTTCTATCGTAATCTTCTTATTAACTAAATTTTATAAAAGCAAAGCCAATTGCTTCATCCTGATACCTCTTAGCTAACACCCCCTCCCCCCCCGATGGCGTCTAGTAGTGGTTTATTTGGTACATAGCACAAGCAATACTGGAGCCTGTTCTTGCGTCAGCAGCTGGCAGTACCAAAAGCAAGACAAACCATTCCTCAGATCTTAAAAGCATGTCAACTTCACGTCTGAACAACGCACAACCTCGTTTCCGCAGCCAGCACTTGTATCTGTGCATTGATCGCCACACGAGCGAGACTGTCAAGTGAAATGAGGAGGCTACTTATCATGAGATTGTAGAGGAGGCTCAAGTCTTCTTAATGTAACACTGTTAAATTGTTAGCGTCGGGTATACACCAAGTGTGGTGCAGTACGTAGCTGAGGAATATTAGAAATCCTGAGAAGGTACCTTTGTAAAAAGACGCCATCTATTGAATTGAAAACGTAGTTAGATTGCATCCACGTCATCAGCAACTTTGCGTCCTTTTGGACTGTCCAGCACTTCTTTCACCAGCAGTACAAGACGCCTCCAAGATCTCTTGAACATGCACACGAAGGCCAAGTCTGCTCGTAAAGCTGCTACATGTTGTACTAGCGCTCTCTCCTGTTTTCTATCGCACAAAGACAGTCCTGTTGCCCATTAATGATGCGCGCATTCACTGGATTTCACGCCGCTGCAATCGACTACATCGTGACTTCGTGACACCTTCGTACCTACGCTGTGGTCTTTGTTGCGAGAGAAAATGTAATCTGCTCTCGAAAAAAATGGGTGCCCGAGTGTGTTGCACTCAGGGCAGTTGTGGGTGTGATTGTTCCTTGTCTTGCCGCGTGGACTCTACAGAAACATGATGAAGATGCGAAGAGACGTTCATGGTGTCAATGATGTTTCTTAACGTGTTGAGAATGTATGTGAATGATGGAGTCAACTGCGTTCTATTTCTTATTCATGTGTCACAAATGTTACCAACATTTACTACCAAAGCGCATTTTTTTGTCAAATTAAAGCGAAACGGTTAAATGTTCAAGGCCGCGACGACAGAGTGATGGTCAGCTCTATGACTCCATCTTGTTATAAATAAATTGCTAAGATGGCTACAGAGCAAAACTATAGGTGTAGGGAATCGTGCGAATATCTAAATCTCACAAGATTTATACTCTACTAAGCCTTAGTGTGACACCTTTTTGTTGTTATACGATACTTGATGAATGCATACATATATGACTATCTAATCTACAGTATTATACTCCTTCCTAGTTACATACAGACACCATAACATTTTCAAAGACTTGTTTATGCACTTTGCACAGGCTCTGTCATTTGTTGTACCTGTATAACATAATATTTGTCTTGCTTACACTCTGTATTACGTGTACCACATCACCTCTTGGGTACCACACCATAACCCAAGTTTTTGCTCTCACTCTCAGTTCAGGGATTTGCGAGCATCGCGCAGTGCAAGAACTGTTGAGAGAACGAGGCTTTACGCAGGCAACTGCAGAGGCTGCTGGAAGTCATTAGTCAGTTCGCGTACGTGTTTATTTCATTTTTCTATCCTATAGTTTGCTACTTGATACTGTATTTGGACTAAAATATGGACGAAATTACCTCTTAGATTTGCGACAGTAGGTGACTTTCGTCCCTCTTCAGCCCGTTCCCCTCCGCTCTCGTCTCCTCTTGCCGCCTTTCTCCATACATTTAAAGTGTGATTTGATACAAAAAGATCTTGAGTGAAGACACTCGAGACGTATAATTTACAGCTGTTATCAAGGGCCGCGAGAAATAGCCGTCTTTGACCCGATTTATATTAGCTAGGAATAAGGTACGTCCTAGTATATGGAAGAGTCTGATGTGGATGGATATGATACTAAACTGTGATGGAACCTGTTGCTCTGATCTTCGTGTGTTTTTTGCTCTAGTTACTGCAGATGGCCAAGCGAAAATTTGTGTCGTCAAAGAAAAACGCACCGATTCGTGCTATTTCTAGCAAAGAGGCAGCACTTCATGGCCGGACTGGTGGAAGAGTAGATGCCGAGTCTGATTCAGGCGACTCGGCAACCTCTTCTGATGTGGAATCGTCTACACCACTGTCGTCAGAAGACGAGCAGGGAGATGATAATGATGATGAGTTGAACGTTAGTCATGATGTCACGTCGCAGCCCATGGCAGTGGAGGTAATGCCGTCTAGTGTGGGAAGAGGAAAACAGCTGCGATTTCCGACTGCCATTTCGCGGGGTAAAGTATTGCCGGCTGAGGGCGGTTTTTCTGCGTCCGATGTTGACGACTCAGATGATGAGAGTTTGTTATCAGTTGCGGTTAGTGACGATGAAGATCACGACCGAGGAGGAAATACGATCGAGACTGAGGATGAAGCAACCGTTGCGACGTCTTATACACGCATGGAATCTTTGTCTGTGAATAATGACACGAAAAGCTCGAGCAAGGATGTCGTAAGTTACCCGATAAAAGCGATTCGCGCGCGGAAACGACATCGCCCAGACTCGGAGTACTACAAACAAATGTCCACATACGTACGAGACTGTTTTCTTAGTGTTCGAAACGCAAGTAATAGTGACAAACTAGTAGACGCATTTGAAGATGAGTCATTGCCGCAGCACGATGAGTTTCGACGGAGGCTTGCCGCAGGAAAAGTAGAACGTGTGACATGGAAGGAACCTCCTTCTGTGGAGTCGGGCGGTAATCAGCTCGGTGATGCTTCTTCCAGTAAAGTAATTAAGTCTAGCAAGTCCAACAAGTCCAGCAAATCGAGTAAATCGAGCAAGTCAAGCAGGTCAAGCAAGATCAGTAATGCCAGCCAGCCCATCAAATCCAACAGGAAAAGCAAGACGTTTGAATTGGACTCAAATAGTTCTTACACAAGCAAGTCGACTATCTTTTTGTCAAATGGGTCTTCCAATCACCTTACACCGCCGACTCAACCTCCAACTCCAGTTGCACCAAGTGCACCAGCAATGTGTGAAGTATGCAAAAAGAAGCTGAGTGGTGAGACATTAAAGGAGGAGAAGGAGGAGAAGGAGGAGCAGGAGAGATGTGTTAAAAAGGAAAAGGATGGGAAGGAGAAGGATATGAAAAAGGATGTAAAGGAGGAGAAAGAGGAAAAGGATATAAAGGAGGAGAAGGATGTAAAAGCAGAAGATGCGAAGATAGAAGATGTGAAAGCAAAAGATGTAAAGCAGCCACTAGAAGAGGTGAAGCAATCTGTAGAAGAGGTAAAGAAGGAGCCTTTGCTTAAAGCCCCTTCCGTTGGACATTTCGCGATCACATTTTCACCCGGAAGCGATGCACAAAAGCTGCGAGTTGAATTGGCTAAACTGATGGATGAGGCACGAAAACTAAAGCACGAGGGAAATCGCCGTGGATCGAGCGAACGTGGCAATGGAGGGCAGGTCACTCAAGGCAAATATTATTTGCGCTCAGGTGCGAAATTTTTCAAGTATGCCCTCAAACTGCAGGAAGTTAAAGTGGCGTATCAAGAAAAGGGTGATGCTCAACACGCGCGCTCGTTTGGTGAAAACTGCGTCACGACGCTTTCCCAGACGTCTTCGTTGATTGAAAGCACCATTCGCGCTTTTCAAAGTGCTGGTAGCATGCGGTTAGCCGCATTAGGCTGCAAGATGGCCGCCGTAGTACACCTGACCGTTTACCGGTTGCAGCATCGCAAGTTACAGTCATTCTACTCGGAATTGTTTACACCTGGGCGTTCACCTGAGTCACGGGAGAACAGCCTTACTCCGCCGATCGATCCGAATTGTACCCTGAACAGCAATAGCAGTAAAGATGCGGCCATGTGCAAGCATCTGTTGAAGGAGATGGAGCATACGCTGCGCGGCTTTGAAATGTGGCGGCGCTACGAGTCCTATAAGGTGAGCGTGCTACCTCGGGTGACAAATCCCGTGATTTTAGATTTAGCTGTGTTCTTTGAGGACCTTGAAGCAGAGCTCAATCTGTCTTAGTTGCTTGTCGATATTATTCAGCATTATCAAGTAGTAGCATATTAGCGACACTGGAACGATACAGGATCCTTGTGGACTTTTCAGCGCAATGGTCTCCGTCGATCACAAGAAATAGCAACAGTATACGAAAAACAATGTTTATTGAAGCTTGAATGCCATACGCAGAGAGCTTTATGTTTCCTTAGTAAACTCACTTTTGGATACAATAACGTTGTCGCCCTTGAGCTCATACAGAAATGCAACAACCTTCGATCCCTGCAACGCCATAAGCATAAAGCTCGGAATCACGTTGCTGGAAAAGCTACTGAACGCACCAGTAATCGAACCAGGATTTACAAACCACTTGCCCTGTTCCGTTCGAATGTGTGATCTGCAATCAATTCACACAAGTAACAAAACTATCAAGTGCTCTGCTAAAATCCGCTTGATCGTGTTGTCACAAACACTCACATGTGAGTATGACCAGTAACAAGAATATCGACATTCATCTGTACAAGTTGAAACAAAGATACATCAATCACAAAAACTCAAATGTCAAGAAACTCTATCGATGTCTAGATCAATATGAAAAGGAACACACCTTTCGTTGTAAAGCTGCAAGACAATGTTGATCACCCCATGGAACAATCTGGTGTCCATGACAGAGCCCAATCCGAAACTGACCAATCGTGATAATCTTTGTATCTGGATATGCTCCTTCCTACAATCACATCATATCAATTCAATCAAGTAAGTAAGTAAAGAGCACAGGAGTCCAAGATAGCTTTCAATTTTCATCCACGACAGTCTCGTCCATACTTGATCGCAATCTCCTGCCACAACATGAACATTGGGCGCTAATTTCTGCAACTCATTCAACTGTTCTCTTGTCACTAAATTTCCCGTACACAAAACATGCTGCATCTTATTTGGCATCTACTTTCCACAACCACACCAATCATAGGGGTCCATGTTTTCCAATTGATACAAACATCGCTCAATGACTTTGTATGTCCCATAATCAAATGCAGTCAAAATCAATCAATCGTACAAGCATCTTTTGAAACTTTTCAGGAAGGTCAGAAGTTCGATTTGGAATATGACTATCCCCTACTATTAAGACTAACTAGAGAGATATCGTTACAATATCATGACAAAAAAACAATACATGGGTACAAAAGTAATATACTATCAGTCATACTGAAGATTAAGAATCTCGAGTCGTTCTTTTACGATAAAACGAACCTCGCCGAAACCAGACGCCATTGTTTTGTTTAATCTCAATGTGAAGTTGGATTGACGTACCTTGGATAGAGTCGTTAAGTACGAAAAAAGTGAAACGTAACGTCGTAGCTAGCTATCGCAACAGATTGGTTTGTATGAATATAAAAACCACACGTACTTTACTATCTCCTCATACCGGTTTTACCGATCAATCTACTGGACTTGCAGCAAGTACACAACGGTATTGTAACGGTAACAATACCATCCAACAGAGTCAGTTAGTGAGTCAGTCAGTCAGTCCTAAAGCTACAGTCTATCCATCAGTCCTCTTTCTATCTCTTGTCTAATATTGCCTTCTTACTTTCTCTATTCATCACTTTCGTATGGCAATCTCACTTAAACAACTAAGTTTTCTTATGCTTGTATTACAAAATACAGCATTATCCATTGTATCCAAGTATTCACGTGCTCAAGATGGACCTAAATATCGTCCAGGGTTTGTTGTCTTACTTGTAGAAACACTCAAGTTTATACTATGTTTCTTCATGTTACTTCAGATAAAGCATGGTAATCTCAAAACATCCATACGGACACTACAGATTGAAGTATTTGCTGATTGGAAAGGACTGATAAAGATGGCAGTGCTTGCTTTTCTTTATGCACTGCAGAATATGTTTGCACTTGTGGCCTATGATTATGTCGATGTGGCAACCTATCAGATTGTCTACCAGCTGAAGATTATTACGACTGCGATGTTTATGATTGTGCTATTACAACGTCGTTTTAGTATTGTACAATGGTGTGCTATGTTTGCACTCATGGCGGGTGTAGCAATTTGTTCGTACTCGAGATTACCCAACATGTCAACAACTAGACACACAAGTGAAGCAATGAAGACCAAGAGATTTATTGGTATTTGTATCATGCTTGGACTTGCAGTCAATTCAGGACTTGCAGCAGCCTACTTTGAGCGTGTTATGAAATCACACAAGGCTCTGACGACACAACAAACACTGGATCCGCTCTGGACAAGAAATTTGCAGCTATCTGCCATCTCAGTGGGTGTTGCTGCTTTAGATCTCGTGCGTAATATGAGCGACGCGTGGACGAATGGATTTTTCTATGGCTTTCATCCGGCGGTCTTTGCAGTCATTTTCCTTCAAGCTGTTGGTGGACTCACAATTGCTGCTGTTGTGCGTTATTCAGACAACATTGTCAAGAACTTTGGCACGTCCTTTTCACTTGTCCTCTCGTGCATTATCTCCAACTACATGTTTGACCAGACAGCTACGCTTTTCTTTTACGTTGGCGTTCTCATGGTCGTGGGCTCAGTCTTTGTGTACGGTGACAGCAGGTTTGCGATCAAACCCGTTACCAAGAAGGAGCGCCGATATACGACGGAAGACCACGCACATGAAGTTGCCATGGACACGAAAAGTTCGCAGATGATGTACTCAGGTGGTCAGCATTTTGTTACACGGTCGGCACAAAACGTTAACGTATCATGCGTTTAGAGCTAGAAAGGAGCTGGTACTAGAGAGGTGTCTGTGTGCCTACTATATGTGTATCCCGCCACAATTCCAAACAAGATAGAATGGCTCGAGTTGTTATTGGGGTGGATGAACAGCCTCCTTTGGTATCATCGCGCGCGCTTTTGCGAGTCGTTCCGACAAGACTGAGTCTTTGGCAGGCTGTACATGTGCTCGATTAGAGCCAAAGATATCTCCGCTTATAACGCGCGCGCAGCGGCCACAAAAATCATTAATGGCATTTGCCACCTCGTGCGGACAATCTTCCTGTATTGCATGTCCTGATGAGTACATCAGTCTCATCTCGAATTTACCCATCATTTGGCCACGCATGAGTTCCGTGTCCAGACGGTCCGATCCTAACGCGTCAAAACAGTGAGCAACAAGACATCTTAGCAAACAAACATGTTTGCGTCATGACAAGTGCAATTACTCACCTGCCAACACCAATACCTTGGCTTCTTTCAGCGATAGAAACTGCTTTGAGAGACCCATGAACCACCCTGTCAACAGCAGAAGTGTCAAGAATGAAGCACACAAGCCGACATTAACTTACTGCTACCTACCATTCCAGTATTGTGCACTGCTAGCAAGATCTGTCTTCCACACTACCGAGTCGTCTTCAAGCTGCTTCAGCTGGGACGGCAACGATATCTTGACAGCTTCCGGATTATGAACGGTGCCACTGTGCAGCGCCCAGTGGATAGCATCCTCGTACGAGCGAAAATGAGATGGACGCTTATTGAGAATATCGCCCATATGCTTCAGCGATGCCATAGCTGTACCTTCCACCACATCAATGACCATTACACCCACAAGCGATTTCACTTCACCCGTTGCCGCAACACGAACTCCAAGCGCACCACCCAAACTACAGTAACATGCAAGCAAGCAAGCAAGCAAGATAGTGTCAGTAGGTTCACAGTTTATCACCAAGAACACAACTCCATTGTCACCTATGACCCACAAGAATAGTCTGTGGATTCTGTAACTCTGTCTCTCCATCCATCTTCATAGCCATAGGAGGAAGGACATGTTCAATAACATGTAATGTATCTTGAACAAGAGTATCCATGGATAAATTCGTATCGTCACTTGTACGTGTTTGACCATGACCTCGTAAATCAAATGCATGAACCCTGCACGATTCCTTCAGTATCATCTATAGGCAAAAATACAATAGTATTTCCGTATTAGCTTTTGAATTGTATACTTCTTGTCATTTGTATCGTATACTTTTTACCGTCACAAGACACCAAGTCATGGATGTATACCCTCCACCATGTAATAATATCACATGAGGACCTTGAAAACCTGCATGATAGACCCGAAATAGCTGTCATTTAAAGAATCATACAGTATTAGTAGACAGTTAATACATACATAGACACATATAGAATGCTATATACATTGCCATTAAGTAGCAAGACGTCCTCCTTTGAGTCAAAATACTTGGTCCAGATCTCGTCGTAGTTCATTATTATACTATATAAAATGTATCGTGGTTGTTGTATCGAAATGATTGAAAGGAAAATAAGGATCATCTGGTTTAGAAGATACTGAGATATGTTAACTGTGTGTAATGCTTGATCAAAAAGTATACAGTGTATACTACTTCTTACCTTATCTATATCATAACGCTCTCTTTTTTTTTGTTTCGCGTTACAGTACGGCGGTATATATAGTCCACCGTAAAAGCAATGACGTTCTCAAAAGTCTGTTGCCAAATCAAGACAAATCGGGTCTTTTTTTCGTAAACAACGTAAACTCGAATTTGTCATCGTCATCATCATCTGACGGCATTCACTCGTCTCTTCTTGTTTATTTCATGGTCTTCATACGTTTTATGAAGTAACAATAAACAACAACCCATCATCCTTACCACATAGAGTGGGAGAGAAGCATCTCTCTCTCTCTCTCTGAACCTGCTGTCACGAAGTTCCTCCATCTGTCTCTGCATTCGTCCTATAGTGTAGCCTAAAGGGTGAGAAATACTACATCTACACACTTGGATATCAATGACTGTAATGTCCAACGATGAAATGTCGAGCCTTGAGCTAAGAAAGCTCCCATGTGACATGCGAGAGCTGGGAGCTGTTGTTATTGATAAGTATGGAACCTTTGACGTGTCTATGATTGATGTGGGCTCAGAAGTTAATGACATGGAGCAATCTCCACCATCGCACAGTCTCTTTCATCGTGTATATGAAGCGTGCTTGAAAGAGTGTCACGTTGTCTGGTTGCTAGTGGCCGTACCCTTGAAGCTCATGACGTACAAACTGCTGCTGTTTCATACAATCAATTTCATCCTGTCTAGTGTTGCAGTCATTTGCATCCTGGGACTTTATCTAAGCAAGCTACCGCTCTTACTTGTAACGAGATGTCGTCGTCCATTTCGACGCACAGAGTCGTGGATCCTGCAGCATTTCTTGCAACTGGACTGTCTGCTCTTGAACTTTATCTCGCCGCAAGGAGAACATGTGATCGTCCATCATCCGTTTCTCCAGATACAGTATACACAAGCTATCGATGACGTCTACACTCGGCTTTATTTTGGAGGTGTAAAGCTCCTAGCAGCGGGTATTCCTGGTGCACTTGCAACGTTCATGTTTGTATGGTCATTGGAAAATGTCGTCATGATGGTCATGCACAAGGAGCAGACCGAGACGGAAATCGACTCGATGAACGGCCAGGATCAAAGTGGTAGCAACGGACTTGATATGATGAACGTTGTCGCAATTGTGGCAATCTACACGTGCGTCTTGTTGTTGCACGTATTAGTCTTTATCTCGCGACAGCTTACTATATTCTTTTGCTCACAGTACGTCTTATATGCTGGAGAAGTGGAGTAGTATAATATTTGGAAAAGATCGAATAAATAGTAGTGTGGAAAAACATGGAGTTAGTAGTATACTATTTAGCTCATGATAAAGTATAGTACACAATGATATGTGTGTACTCTAAAAAAACAGGCTGTTACACATAATATTACGGGACACTACCTCCTCCCCATTAATATTTTGTAGTATACAAACTTCTAGTCATAAGATTACAAGCGAGGATGGAACGTAGTAAATACACGGACCTTACGCTTATTAATGAGCGAATACTAGAGCAATGGACTGAACACGGACGTTTAAAAGTGTAATATATCTATATATAAACTATATATCTGTATAATATTAATATTACTATCTCTCTTACAGGTTCACACAACTTACAGACGCTATACGTCGTTTTCTCAAGGACCAGGAGGATTCCAGTGTGTATACTCCTATTTCTTCCTATTATGTATACTAAAGTGTATACTGTGTTTTCATTGGTTGAAATTCACTTTTATTTGTTACTTTAGATTTACCTCGATTATTGTATGAGCTTGTATGGCTCGTTTTACATACAAAAGTATTAAAACAGGAGGTCGTAGAGCTACTTCAGGAGACACAAATGGTACAATCATATTGATACGGAACTTACTCCTACTATTAGTAGTATTGTCTTATGAAGACCTTCCTATGATGTTGTTGTTTTATATGTAGATTACGTATTCAAAAGTGTGTGATCTACTGACGGATTTATTGTGGGTGATTGGCAATGAAGTGGAGACTAGTGAACGTGGCCATGAACGGCATAAATCACGAGAATGGTGGAATTTATGTGCATTTATCAAGCACTTGGTGGATGAAAAACTCTTGACAGTATTGAGTCTTAAAGCGACACTTGAGTTTGATCTACTACATGATGCAGAACTGGCACCTGAACCACAATTAATGACCAAAAAGATGGTGCGGATTAATACCAAGACGCTGTATACACAGACCAAGTACAATTTGCTACGGGAAGAGACGGAAGGGTTTTCCAAGGTATTGTGTCTATTGCACACTGGAGTGACGAAGAACCAATTGGAGGCGACGAAAACTGACTTGATAGCACTGATTGGTTTCTTTGACTTGGACGCAAACCGTGTACTAGACTTGGTACTAGACGTGTATGAAATGCATCCAAGGAACGACTGTTTTGCACAGCTTTTTGAAATTTTCAAACGCGATAGCTTGCCTCACATTATAGGCTTTAAGTTTCAGTTCTACAAGCGCGACCCACCTGCTGTAGAAGGAGTCACAACGCCACGCTCACTTTACCGTCTAGCTGCGATGCTGTTGAATAAAGGCCTGCTTGAGTTGGATACTCTCCTGCCACACTTGTCGCCTTCTCGTGATGATATTGTGAAAGCGTCTATGGAGCATGAAAAAGAGCTGATTGAGAAAGCGGTATCATTAGGCCAGGTTAACCTCGCCGCCAAGAAAGGTCTGGAAAAAGCTGAGGATGAGGACGAAACTGCGGCCGTTGCTGAGAAACGAAAGCAGGAAGCAGAACACAACCAGGTGTACGGATTGATTATTGGACTTTTGGAGGTTGGCGCACGGGAGCGCGCGTTTGATATGATTTCGTGGTTTCAAAAGCGAGGTGTGAATCCTCTTACGTTTACTCCGCTAGCCACAGAACTCTCTGCTGTCGTAAATGTGATGATTGAGGAGGTATATGCACCGCTTTCGTCTCGCAGGTTGGAGCTTGTTAATGCCAAGAGTGGCGAATCAATGACTCTTACGGAGAAACGAGTGGACCACGAGAGTACGAGTAGCCACTACATTCGTCGCGTGGCTACACTAGAAGACTTTGTGTCCGAAGGTTTTCCTATCGTGGAAATGATCGGTCCTCAATTGTTCCACGACGAGTTTCTTTTCACAAAGCTATTGCGTATCGTTGGCAAGTTGGTCGATGATCATTTAAAGAAGTCTAGCACTTCTGTTGACAAGGATGAAATGGATGTTGTACTTTTGGACAAGGTAAAGTTGCTATTGATTGGTACATTCCTTCCCGCCATGTCCCTGCAAGAATGCAACCCAAGCACATCATTTTTGGTGTGGGACCTGATAAAGTCTTTTCCTTGTGATGAGCGCTACAGAATGTACCTGCATTGGTTCGAGGCGTACGACAAGTATCCCGAACTGCGTCTTAAGGAGGCTCAGGCAATACAGAGCACGCGCGGAGTCATGCGACGGCTCACAGCAGACCGGGCAAAGCTGTCCGCACGCTGCCTGACTCATGTGTCGCATTCGAACCCGCTAATTGTATTCCGCACAATGCTGCGGCAGATTCAGTCGTACGATAACTTGATCCAGCCCGTGGTTGAATCATTCAAGTTCGTTACGCCATTGGGGATGGACGTACTGTCATTTGTTCTCGTAAGCGAATTGTCAAGACCGCAGAAGTCAATGAAGCTAGACGGGACACATGTCTCACTTTGGCTGACGTCGCTTGCAAACTTTTCGGGCAGTTTTTATCGCAAATATCCGAATGTGGAGCTAGCTGGTCTTCTCCAGTATCTCATTCAGCGTCTTCAGAACTGGGCGTCAGTAGATCTTATTGTATTGAGTGAACTGCTGACAAAGATGGGATCATGCTTGAGTCTGGAGGATATTTCGGTGAGTCAACTTGAAGCTCAGGCAGGTGGGCCACACCTTTGGTATGAGCCGACGGACCCAAAATTCCAGAACCGTCGTGCTATTCCAAAACTGCGCGATGCTTTGATCAAGCGGAATTTGGCTCTACCACTGTGTGTGCTAATTTGTCAGATGCGCAGCCGTATTGAGTATCATGAAGACAGTAGTTTTCCACATCTGAAGCTGCTTGGACGAGTGTTTGATACTTGCCAACTCACGCTCAGCCAGCTTATGCAGTTTCTCGGTGGTGTTGTTGACCCACTGGTTTATCGGAAAATGCTTCCTTCGATCACGACGCTAGTCCGCGATTACAATGTACCACCGGAGTTGGCTATGTCACTCTGTCGTCCGGCAATGCGTAGTGATGATCCAGTTTTGCAAACTGTACCGCGTGGTGTGCACGCCACTGGCGGTAGTAATACGACTAATAACGGGACCAATACCGATGGATCCATATCGAACGATCCATCGAACGGGGAAAAAAGTTGGTACATGTACAATTCTTCTTTCCTGGAGGACATCAAGGGTGCATTGCGAGCCGATACTGGATTGGGTGATGAGACGGAAGCGCCCTTTACTGGAATGACACCGGAAGTGTACGCAACGTTTTGGGGGTTAAAGCTGTACGATATTTATATTCCATTCCAGCAATACGAATCCGAGATTTTGCGTCTGCGGAATTCCGTCACTTCTGGTGCAAATGCATCGCTTAGTGCAAGTGAGCGCAAAAAGCTGAAAGAAAAGACAACACAGATGATTGATGTACTTACTACGGAACAAAAAGACCAAGTGGCCCATCGAAAACGAGTTTACGAGCAACTGGAGAAGATGAAAGGAAGGTATTTCAAAGCTGAACCAGAAGGTCCTCAAACTGCAATAGATGAGCTGTTGCAGAAGTGTATAATTCCGCGCTCACTCATATCGCCTGAAGACGCGCTGTTTTGTGCCAAATTTATGGAGCTTTTGCATACTATTTCAACGCCACAATTGAGTAGTTTGCAGTACTTTCACAAGATGAATATGAAGGTATCAGCAATAGTGTTATGCGCAACGGAGCGTGAGGCGAGCAATTTCGGTTTTTTTATGAAAGAGACCTTAGGACTTATTTTGCGCTGGTACCAGAACGGTGCAACGTATGACGATGAAGCGATCCACGGCAAGATTGGCATGAGCCTGGATCTGGCTGACGGCGCGAAAAGTCTTGCTCACCGTCAGTTTAAGTCAGCATATGTTCGCTGGCACCAACAGCTAGAGCTCGTGTACACGACGGCGCTTTCGAGTGGAGAGTATATGCCAATCCGCAACACACTGGTGGTACTCACAAAGCTAATTGATGTGTTTCCTGCGGGCCGCGGAACAGCTGAATTGATCTTGGGTATTGTGGAAAAGCTAACGAACGAGGAGCGGGAAGATATCAAGATCATGGCCAAACGATACTTTGCTTTGCTAACCAAGCGCAAGGCGTCACTTAGCGATGACAGGCTACTGCGTACTCGTAATGCTTCATCTAAACCATCGACTGCCGTGCCATCGACCAACGACAAAAAGAATGCAACTGTGAAAGAGGAAAAGAAAAGCAGCGTGGATGATAGCAGCCACAATGAACGTAAACGTGATAGTTCAAGTAAACCAGCGTCAATCCACGCAGCGAGTCAAGAAGTTGAAAGCGGCGAAATTGTGATGGGAAAGAGTAGCAACATCAGTGATACCTCTTCCTGGATTAAAGAGCGAGATTTGGAGCGTGGACCAGGCGGGGACCGCAATTATATTGGTCGTGGTGGGGGAGGTAGTTTCGCAGAACCTAGCCATGACCATCGCAGTCGTGCAGAGCGTGAAGAGTCTGAGAGTTACCAAAACATCTCGACGGATACTTTTCGTGAACTTGGCGTGGATGAAAAGCAGGGTCGTCAAGATCACCGCAATCGTGAATTGTTGCCCACGCCTGCAGACCGCAATCGTGAATTGTTGCCCACGCCTGCAGACCGCAGTAGCTCGACAAATACCCAAACAAACGAGTTGAAGGATCGCAGCGGATCAGCATCGCGTAAAGCGAGGAGATCGCCTCCTCGGCGAAGTCGGTCAGGAGATCGTGCTGAAGACCGTGGCAACAATAGCGATAGTCGTCGCTCTTCACGCGAACGAGAAAACGGGCGTGAACGCGGACAATTTAGCCGTGGTGGGCAAGGTGAAGGAGATCATAGAGGACTAGGTGATCGTCGCAGCAGTCGAAGTGGCAGTCACGACCGTCATGAGCGCAACTCGCGAAATTGTGATGTAATTCACGGACTTGCAGAAAACGAGGCGACAAGGAAACCAGAGGCTCCTCAATTTAGCCGGAACGAAGAGCCTGACAAGCTGGCTTTGTCACCAAAGCCTGATCGTGCCTTCGAGTCTGCGAAACTAAATCGCGGGGCAAGGGCAGAGCGTGACTTTGTGAAAGCTGAGCCTTCTCTTCTTGATGCTGGGCGGAAGAGAGTGCGGCCTATTGAGCAGTCGGAGGCTGCATTACGTCGTCAGCTTACCGCCGAGAAGGAGGCAAAGGCCAAAGAGCAGCAATCTGGCGAGCGCACTAGGCCAATAGCGCGTGATCGCATGAGACCTCCGCTTTCGTCACCGGTGACAGCTTTTTCAGCGGGAAGGGCCTCGCCAACAGATGCTGGAACGCTAGCTGGTGGGGCACGTAAGATCGTGTCACTCGTGCCCTCATCACGCAAGCGTGAGCGCGAGCCTTTAACTGATAGTGAAGCGCCCAGTAGCAGCGCAGGTAACACACTAGAAGGAAAACGACGTCGCGATGGTGGCGGCAGCAACAGCAATTGGGGCGAGCCTAAGCGCGGAAATGAAGACAAGCGCAAACGAAGAAACAAAAGTGGTGGCGGTGATAGCTACAATGGAAACCAGCAGCACCAGCTTCAGCACCAGCCTCAGCATCAGCCTCAGCACCAGCTTCAGCACCAGCAGCGTGACCAAATGTAAGCAACTCTCGATTACTGCGAATGTTTATTGCAAATGACAAGTGCTAATTTCTTGTTTTAATGATGCACAGGCGTGGACGCCAGGATCGTGGTGGCCGTAATGGTAGTGGACACTTTGATAAACGCATTGGTCAAGAAGAGCGCCGTGGAAATAGTGGTGGCGGTGGTGGCGGCCGTCGGCATGATCGCAATGACAATCGTGGAGGTCGCCGGTAGGCTGAGAGCTGTAGATATGGATGGTATCGAGCAGGGCATGACTTAAACTGACCCTCCATGGCCAGAAAATCAAAGTCTTCATGTATTTGCCATTGTAAGTAGCAGCAATTGTGGATTGATTACAGGTCGAATGAATGATAGTACAACAACCAACAGACGAGAAGTCACGGTGATGGTGAGTTCAAAGGACTGACTAGACAACCAAAGTATCTCAATCAATCAGAGCCCATCATCATCATTATTATCAAGTCTCCACATGGCATTACGTCGTCTCTCACTTGTATTCCCGGGACAAGGTAGCCAATGCGTAGGCATGGGGAAGGACTTGCTTGTAAACTGGCCGCGTCTTGTCAGTAATGTCCTCGAGGAGGCCAGCGAGGTCACGGGACTTCATTTGCGACGACTTATAACGGAAGGGCCAGCTGATGAGCTTATACTGACACACATTACTCAACCAGCTCTGCTGTCAATGTCCGTGGCGGTGCTGCGAGTATTACACAATGAAATGGAGCTACCACCTGTGCACTTTGCTTTGGGTCATTCACTGGGTGAGTACTCGGCGTTAGTGGCGGCGGAGGCTATGGAATTTGCCGATGCAGTACGTCTCGTGCATGTCCGCGGTTTAGCCATGCAACGTGCTGTTGCTCCTGGCGTAGGGGCCATGGCTGCTTTGATGACCGTCCAACCCAAAGACGCTGAATTATTGTGTCAAGAGGCTGCAAGTAGTACTGGAAGCGTTTGTCAAGTGGCCAACTACAATTCGAGCAAGCAGACGGTGATCAGTGGCGATGCACGGGCTGTCAATGTCGCTATCAGTCAAGCAATAGCTACCAAGAAAGCACGACGAGCAAAATTGCTGAACGTAAGTGCTCCTTTCCACTGTGTACTCATGGAACCAGCAAAACGGGAGCTACATGAGCATCTACAGCAACTACTACACGACAACAAGCTGCACGAGCCCAAGGTACCAGTGGTATGGAACGTCGAGGCAATGGCAAGTACAAAGACAATCAACGAGATCGCACAAGTGCTAGAAGAGCAGGTCGTACACGCTGTTCGCTGGAGTGACAGCATTGACTATTGCATGGACAAAGGAGTAGATCACTTCTTGGAAGTGGGTGTAGGTGGTGTGTTGAGCGGTCTTATCCGACAGCAAATTGGCAAGAGTGACGCACTGTGCACGACTTGTGGCACGACGAACGAGATCAAGTCGTTGGTGAAAAAGTACCAGCATCAGTGAAAGAGAGAGAGAGAGAGTGAGAGTGAATCATCATCTCAATCCATGTGTTTTCTTCTTCCCTTAGTCACATCAATGTCAAGTGTCCCTTCTTGTGTCCCATTGAGTAAACGTCTCTCTACTCTTTGTGTATCAGCATCGGTGATGCACCAATGTCACTTGACTTGAGAGCGTCACGTTGACTTATTGGACCAGTTGGACGTCGTGCGAGAAGCTCGATACCTTTGCGTTTAGCCAGCACTTCCTCTCTGTATATTGTCAATCCCGTCCAAAGAATTAGCCACTCACAAGGTTCATTTTGACGTAATTACAATATCTCTTCTTTTTACCTTGCAAAAACATCCGAATCGGTCTCTGGAGCGTTCATAAGACCCAGAAATAGTAAGATAGGACCACCTAGTATGCCCATATAAGCGGAATATTCCCAGCCTTTACGCTTAAATTGGTGTGTGCCCTATTTGTAGTCGTATATAAGGGTAAGAATTAGCAACATACAAGACAATAACAGATGATTATTGATTTGTAAGCACAATTGAAAACCATACGACGTACATTATTCGTAAGCATTGCAGTCTCAGGCATGTGCACATGAGGTTTTCCATGACTAGAGAAAGAACGCACACTTAGGAAACGCATAGAGCGAATGATACATTCCTGCATGATTAATCAATAAAGTCTCTTTTTGCACCACACAATTCCTAACAATTCAAATGAGTTAATATGATTGGCTATTAAATAGAAATGGGACAAATCAAGCTGGACAATGTAAAGGACAAGAACATGGCTACATGTAGAAAGAACATGGCTACATTACATGCTCGAGTCATTGAAGCTGATAATGTTTAAAGGTATAGAGCTCCAAAGGTATTATTGAGATACGCACCTATTGCATTCAATTGTTCAATTGAAAGATTGGTGTAGTGTTGCGCCTTCATTCGTCCAATGGCTACATACTGAAGAAATTGATCCAGACTCTTTTTCATGAAAGACTGCTGACTTCTGATCCCCATGCTTGACCATTCGACTCAGCAAGCACCGTTGTGACAGTTCTGAGCGACGAGACTTGGATTTAATATACCACCAGCTTTTACCAGTCTGGAACTTGTCATGATAAACATCCTGCACTTGTGAGGGTGAAGAGATCCAAAAAGCGCTTTTGCTTGTGCAATCTCTGTGCTTGAATCGCAATGTCATCAATGATTGATGCCAGTGTCATTTTCTCGAGTCAAAAACTCTCCATGACGCACCAGGTCTTCTCTACACGCTAAACAAAACTCCAGTCTTGAGTCAGACATTGCGCACAAAACGACGAGAAACAGGTTCAATCCATCCATCACTCTATTCAAGACGCCACCATGATCCCTGTCTCTCTCAATGACAATGACCAGTCGGATGTTGCTTCAACCCGAAAAAAAGCATGACCGTAGCACTTGAGTCTCTTTGCCTACTTCTGGATTGATGGGTCTTGAGCACTTGGTGGGTATGACGCTATCATAACTGCAATTGCTGGTTTGCTGCATTCACTTTTCAATTTGACCTGCTCGACTCAATCATGAAGCTTACCCTGGGACTTGGCGTATTTTCGCTATCGGTTTTGTCATCTGATGCTCGTCCTACTTTTGTATCTCGTATTCCAAATGGTAATGGAGTGACTGGTGTTGTTGCATTGGGTCACGTGAATACTGTCGGTGGAGGAGCGACGAATGCATTTGGTGATGCCTTCCAAGACGCCGGGTACGAGTGGACAAGGGAACTTTGCCAAGTTGATTCAGATCTAGACGGCGCCTTGAATGGAGAAGAACTTGGTGATCCATGCTGTACGTGGACATCTTCTGTCGGTTTCGACAGTGATTCCCCATTTCCTGCGCAGTCATCTCCTACACATCCAGGAGTTGCCAATAGCTTCACAGAGTCTCAACTCACTTCAATGAAATGCAATGGAGAGGCTGTTATCGATTCCATTGTATCAAGTGGATCTGCTTCGTCGACTTCATCTCAATCTGCTTCTGGATCCCAGTTGTCAACCTTTGGAAGCAGTATCAGCAGCAGTAGCGGGTCCATTGACGATGTGGTTGCCGAAAATGACCGACCTCTTGTTTCTAATCGCCCAGAACTTGATGAAATCAAACCAACTCCTGACACATCGGATGCAATTCAACTCCAGACATTTGTCTATTGTTTCAGTATTGTTGTCGTACTAGTTACTTGTTGAAGTTCATAGTAGCCTAAAACGTAACCTGTCAATGTAATCCTTTTCAAACTGAGTGTAACCATTCAATTACAACCATGCAGAAGACTAACAACAATATCTCGACTGCTGATCTCTTTTCTCGTGTACTTGGAGACGCTGAATACAAGACACTCAATCATTCATCAGTAGATAACCGTAGTGACAGCACTTTTACTTCTATTGGTGGTTTTCTCGTGTGTCTAAACGTCCCACCAGCCACAGAATTTGGCGTTGACTATGAGGTATTTCGCACTGGTCCAAAATTTCAAGGCGTGAAATTCCTTCCACTGGGCATTCACTTTGTACTCTTTCGATCTCGAGATCAAGAGCACGGTATACGTCAAGGTTTTTTCATTAATATAGAGCGTCATGCACAGGTTATTGTACGTGAATGGAGCATGGAGAAGGAGGAGCTGGGTCTACCACGACCAGGACTCAATATGGAAAACCTTGAGCGTACGATGTTGCAAAGACAATGATGCAAATCTGGACGTCTTGATGGCAGTAGTACTGATACTATGCGTCTATTCATATGGTTGATATTGTACTTGTAGGTGCCGTGCTATCGTTCCAGCTTGACAGCGGGTTGGGACCGTACCCGAAACGCCATTTGCAAACATGGCAACGTCTGTCCAGCTTTATTTCCACCTCAGTACTGCAAGTATGCAACAATAATGGTAAACACAGTTTGTTCTCGGTAGTCTGTTTTTCTAATATTGATGTGATTGTGCTTGCAGCAATGCGGCGTGGACTTTGGCGCCATCCTTCTTCCAGGTGACGCGGTTGAAGACGCTTCGATCTTGTCCGAAGTCCAGGCTGGTATTGTTCCGTACTTTCCAGATCTACCGCGGACAGTACGGTTTACTGCGCTGCAGAAGACAAGAACTGATCTGTCGGGTCCAGCCAGAACAGCCTATCATTTTGACCAAAGGTAAGGTCGAAATCGGCAACATCCATCCATACCTTGCATCCTGCTGCATCGGGTGGTTGTGAGCTCATCATGTGGGCTACTTTTGTCGTGCAGTGAAAAGCTAGAAGATCTGATCGAAACAGAGTTTGGTGGTGATTGGAAACGGCTTATCGGTGAACTTCAGCTGTCGTTCCTGGTTTTCCTGCAGTTGTCGTCTCTTGCAGCATTAGAGCAATGGAAACAGGTAAGACATGGTTTCATTATGCTGATTAAAAGACCGTTAGCAGGTTTCATCAGGTGTCTGTGGTTGATTGGTTCTTTGCTGAGTACAGTTCATTGCACTCTTGTGTTCCTGCGAACGAACACTCTTTTCCCATGTGCCACTATTTCTCGCATTCGTCAAGCTCTTTATTACGCAATTGGAACAGGTGCGTGGGGTCCAATCACTACTACCTCATTGCCTACTTTATCTCTCATTGTATTGAACTCTTGCTAGATCCCTGAGGACTTTTTTCAAGATGACACGACTAGTGAAAACTTCTTAAGCCCGTGTCTATTGTCACTGCTGGAGTTGATTGAAGATACTGAAGCCCCGCCACAGGTAAAACCTCTTTCAGTGTGTAGTAATATACTTGTGACATGATGATTCATCATTTCGTTTGTCTGACAATGTCGTCTTGTGTGTATTAAAATGACAGTTCCATCCAAAGGCTTTTCAATTGCGACAGCTTCTATCCACACGTTTTCATTGGGATTTCAATATGAAATTGATTATGGACGAGTTTGCACCCGTTATAGTGTCTACAGACGAGGTATTACCCCAATACTTCTAAGTATACTGTATACAACCTAACGTCCGCCAAGAGTGAGTGATGGTCACAATTATCAGAAGAAAGTTAACATCGTATTTGCTGCTCATTCTCGTAGATGCCCAGTCCTGTATCTGCATGTACTGACTCATCCTCGTCCTCATCCTCATCTTCGCTACTATCATCAGCTTCATTGACCGTAAAGAAACGACATTCCTTGGAAGAAGAAGACGAGTGGACGAATGCAGCAATCGCTGCCGCTTTTCTTCGTCAAAACTAACATTATTGGCTCGCGAAATGGTCAATTTGTTGACTCGATACAAAGATCAAGTGTTTTTGGTGTGTACCACACCATTCCGTTACACCATTTTTGTTTGGGATCCCGTTTTATTTTCTTAGCTCATATTAAAGTTCCCTCGCTTTGCGACAAAGGGAGAGAGAGAGAGAGAAGACGTAGGGGAATTTAGTTGCAGTGTACTCGCTTAATGGAAACATGAAGTCGCAGCACGCCAGTTCTACCCCCCGGCCGTGGAGCCTATGGTCCTAATGGTGGTGTACCACATCCACGTGGTAATCCATATCATCTTGGTACGACATACATTCTCATTTTCAATAACCCCGACCCCTAAGACCCGCACTGATTGATTGATTGATTGATGCTATATAATTTCTATTTGATTCTATCTATCTATTATTATTATATATAATTAAATAGAATATCGACCTAAAAGTACACAACAACAACATGATCCACTAATTCATTCCCAATTAAAACAATCTGGAGCTGACGGCATGGACGTAAATGCACCAGTTTTTAAACAAAGCAGTAATAGTTTTCATCTACAACACGTACGTTTTTATCGTGTGGAGACGAGTAGTGTTTTTATGTATTACAAAGGTAGTGATAGGTATCTAACGTGTTGTGTTTTTATGATTGATATTATACTATAGACAGCACGACCTTATAATGGTCCAATGGGCTATTCATCTGCTTTTCCTATAGGTGGTCAACAGACTATGCCACGTGGACCTCTTGGAGGTCATCACTATCAGCCACGCATGCGTGGACCTCCACGAGGCGCAATGCAACAGCAACATCAACAATATATGCCCAGAGGTGGTATGAATCCAGGAGAACAGGGATATTATCCACCACAGATGCAAATGATTCCACCCTATATGATGGGACCAGGTCAACACTACATGGGAGGTCCTCCAATGTATAGTATGCCACCCATGCAAGATATTGGGATGGGAATGGGAGGCATGCCTGTGCCCATACCGATCCCACAGCTACAGCATCAACCGCCGCCAAAGCGGGAGCTCAAGATACTGGATATCATAAACCCCAAGACAGGAAAGGTCATCGAGCTGGGACACAATGCATCCTCAAGACGACCGAGTGATGCTAGCTCAACAACTGCAGCGGACGATAGCAAAGCAGCAAGCACGAGCACCACAGCGCAGAGTACACCACAGAAGAAGGAGGCGACGCCTGTAAAGGAACCTGTCGCTCCCGAGAACCGTCAGGCTGATGTGAAGCAGAATGGAGCTGCAAAATCCGTCACGATTTCACCAAAAAAATCTCCAAAAAGAAGCACTGCGAATGAAAAGCTGACACCAACAGCGGATTTTGCGAAGGAAACAAAAATACCGAGAACTACTGTGACGGAGGTGATCGAGACGTCACGTGACAAGGCTGTAGCTAAGACTGTCGAACTGACGGTAGAAAAAGGATCCGAGATTTGCAAAAGGAGTGGCTCATTCACTACAGTGACGACCAGTAAGCCGACGACACAACCTGTCATGGAGCCTAGTGAGAAAACATCAGCTGTCACGCGGTCGGCCGAGAAAAAAATGCCTGATCAGGACATTCCTTCCTCAACGTTGCAGCAAGGAGTAATGGAGAAGGAGGACGAAGTGCAAGCTGGTGCCCCGGACACGGCAGCAGGCCATCCAATCGAGACAAAAACGGATGTGAGCATCACCCTTCATAAAAAGCTGGGCGGCAAGCTGACATACACGCTGGAACTACTGATGAGGTAACAACTTTTTATGCAGAAGCAAATTTGCTACTGGTATTGTACTCACCACCTGTAACATGTGTTTGGTAATGATATAGCTTTTCTGAGCAATACAAAGACCTTCCTGGTGCTGTAATCGATCAGGATGTCCCATGGCCGTCGATGGAGATTACCAGTGAGGTTGCTTTGTTGCGTGGTAGTTCTCGTGGGGGACGCAATGGGGCTGGTTGGGACCGTAGCGAGAAGCCGTCTGGTGGATTTGGACGTCAAGGACCACGCAGTGGATCAGGCGGTGGCCAGTGGGCACGATCACAGGATCTCCCGAAGCGAAGTGGTCGTGGTGAGCGCGGTGGTGGACGTGGGGGACGTGGTGGCCATGGGGGGCTCCCCTGACCCACCTCTTCTGGATGGACCTGTGAAGCCTCTGACCCGGTCAGCGAACCGGTGGATTCCAACCAAGAGCGCTTCAACTTTGGAAGTGACGAAGAAAAATGTGAACGGTATCATGAATAAGATGACTCGCGAAAAGTTTGAACGTCTGTCTGGGCAGTTGACTAGCATCAACATGGAAAGTCTTGAGATGCTACAAGCCGTTATTAAAATCATTTTCGACAAGGCGGTTGGAGAGCCGCATTTTTGCGATATGTACGCAGATTTATGCGTGCATCTTGAGACGAATTGGAAGGTGTGGTCGTTTTTGAAGATTGTTCAAAATGACGACGATAACATGTTTTACTGGACGGCAATGTCCAACTCGGACTCGGAAGTTGTTGGACCGTTTGACATGGTCAACGATGCATTGGAGTCGGCCGACAGTGACGAGTTCGAACCTGTTCCTGCTCCTTCTAACATGAAGCTGAGCGAAGTTCGTATCAGGGACCACAAGTTTATCAAAGTGTGGGTGCAAGAAGATTCGACTAAGGCACAGTATTATTGGTCAGGCCAGGACTTGGACGACTTGGGAGACGACCAAGTGCTGAATGGTCCTTGTGAAAATCATGAGGCTGCGAGTCAGTATGCTCTCAAGTCATGCTCGTTCAAGCGTATTTTGCTGAACGCATGCCAAGAGGAGTTTGAGAAGGATAACATTTATGAAGAACTGGAAAAAAAGTTTAAGAAGGACAAAGAAGAAGGCAAGATTACATCACAAATGGCAGCTGATTACGAAGAGAAGCGATTGATCATGAAGTTACGCATGCTTGGAAACATACGCTTTATTGGCGAGCTGTACCGAAAAGGAATGCTTCAAGAGCGCATTATGCATGAATGTATTATGAAGCTGATGGATGTTCGTTTGAATAATAACGGGATGTTGGTGTGTGTCCACCCTAACGACCCTCCTGATGAAGAGAGCATCGAGTCGCTGGCCAAACTACTGACCACGATGGGAAAAGATCTAGATAAGCACGGTGCGGAAGGCTTTATGCCGTCGTACTTTTACTATCTGGAACACAAACTGGTGAAGGACAAACGCCTATCGTCCCGTATCACCTTCATGATTAAGGATGTCATCGAGTTGCGCCAGCATCGGTGGGAACCGCGACGCAAGGAGTTGAAACAGAAGACTTTGACTGAAATTCGAAAGGAGGCGGAACGAGAAGCACGTGCTCCTCCAGTCAGCACGCCAGGTGGAAGCGGTCGTGAACGAGGAGACCGGGACCACTTTTGGTCGGATCGTCGATCAAACTCATCCCGCGATGGATTTAACAACAATCGTTCCACCATGGCGCCTGTATACCAACCCTCACAATCAATGAGTAGCCGTACAAACAGCAGTAAGCAAATAACGCTTCCACGTGGTATCGGAGCTCGTGATGATTCGGTGAAGACTGGACCGTCTGGAAGACCCGCTGCCTTTAATTTTGTTGCTCGGCAGGGTGGACGCGGCGGCCCTAGTGGCGCACCAGCGAGCTTTCCAAATAGCCGTCGTGGACCAGGAGTTGGCGCAAAGAAGCCTGAATCGCCTGTTCGCGCTAAGGTGATTCCTCCGCTCGACGACGAGACCCAAGCAAAGATTGGTAAGAAAGCTAAGTCGACCGCGGAGGAGTACGTCTCTATTGTTGACCTGGAGGAGGCTGAAGCTTGTCTTGTGGAGGCTCAAAAGGAACACAATAACCACGATGACGTAGACCGTATCTTTGCTTTTGAGATTCTGAAGAAGGCCATCGATGCGAAGGCCGAAGTCCGTGGCAAGATGGTTGAGATGCTGGAAAAATTGAGCCTGGGGACGAAAAATCTTGCGTTTGCTGGCATTCGCTACGCTATTGAAAAAACACTTGCGATGTGTGGCGATCTCTGGTGCGACGTCCCAAAGCTTCACGAACACATGGCTGATTTTGTGGTACGTTTCATGAAGAATTCGGCGCTCACCGGCGTTTCACTGGATTGGATTCTGGGCAGATGTCTTCAGTCAGTGAAGAAGGATACACTTGATGAACTAATTGATGGAGGATTCCTGGCTGCTTTGTTGGGTACAACACTAAATCTATTGAAGACAGACAATGTGGAGAAGACAAAGCAGGAGATACGCGCGACGAATATTTTGGTATTGAGTGTATTGCCATCATACAAGCAGTCTCCCAAGGATATGCAGGAGTGGATCAAAAAGTATGATCTTGAAGATGTGTTTTTATTGGAGCCTGCTTTTGACGTTGTGGATCGTGTGATCAACGACTTGCCATACGTTGAGGTTGTTTTGTTCATTGAGGACGTCCTTCCTAAGGCGAATCGCAATGATTTACTGTTTGTGACGTACACGTGCCTGTTCATTCTGAGCCTGTCAAAGAAGGGGTGAGCTGCCTTCGGCTGAACGAGTTATGCTATTGTTAGGGTTCTGTCCCAGCCTGGATATTCAAGCTCAGCTAATCTCTGCCATATTTCAGACGCGAACCGACTACGGTGAGGCTTTTTTGTGTATCTTTTCTTGTGTGTGGCTGCATGGAATTTGGTTAATTTTGATGCTCTTTCCGATTGCTTGATACAGACGAAGCGAAAACATTGCTGGCACATTTGGTTAAGGAAGGCGCAGTAGTACCTCTTGCTTTCAACAAGTGGCTCACGTTGCAGGACGACAATAGTGTGAGTAGGAAGCGCGTGCTGGAGGAATTGGGCCAATTTGTCGAGCAAATGGCTCGAACGAAGTGATCATATGATGATAGGAGACATTCATTCAGATGACATGCTCGTGTGCGTCTTATGGATGAATGGATGGATGATGATGGTGATGTCGACTCCAGACACTAGTTAGCATACAGAAAAAATAAAGTAAAAGGATGAAAGCGGCTACAACATGCAACATGGATTGATATTTCGTGGTGAAAAACATGGCTACAATTTGATGCTATTTTGGGTCCTCATCAACATGATGCTATCTTGGATCTTCATTAACATGATGTTATTTTAGGTCCTCATCCACTTGAAGTCACCCATTTTAGTGTAATGTACCAACATTGAACAACAAACTTAAAACCCTCTACAATATGTTAGCATACACGCAATCAAGTTTGAAAGTGTCATAATCATGACGACCATGACGAACAACGACATAATGGCACGTCTTACTGCGACTGCGACTCGTCTGACGTTGCTGGAACGATCACTAGATGATCTCGAGGGTGTAAATCGTGTAAGAAAGCATTTACAGCGTGAGAAAGTCACCAGTGCCATGCTCAAGACAGCACCTAGTGATTATTACTCGTGGCATCTCGATCCAAGAGCGTAGGGTCTGCTGTATGTGCTTGTGTATACAATAATGTAGTATAGTTAACACTAACAAATGTGTTGATGGTGTTGCGTAGGAAGCTATTAGGCTGTAAGACTTGTCATCTTTGTAAAAGTATTATCATGGAGAACGTAGCGTGTCTTAACAATGGGATTGAGGATTCGCTTAATAGTCGGTGAGTGGCTTCAAAGAACACAAGGGAGAAAGTAGATTGAAGATTCAATTGTGCTTGCTATTGCTACTACTACTGCTGTAGCTATTATTGTGTCGTGCTACAATACAATTCAAAGCTTGATGCTGAACAATTGCGACGTTTTGTGCGTCATAACATTTCTGAGGTGAACCGTCCATCTAAAAAGAAATTCAACTTTCAACATGCTCAAGGAGAGGTAAGATGATGCTGATGATAGCATGTATTTGGAAGCTGTATGTGCTGATGCAATTACTATGTAATACTGAGGAACAGATGGCGGAGAAATTGACGGGCTTTCGACATAATGGAGTGTCTCCCTTTGGTATGCAAACACCCATTCCGGTATGCCGTTTAATGACCATGACTGAAACACTTGACAAGGTTGATATCTACTTGTTGAATTGATCTCCTGTCTGTCTCTAGGTGATTGTAGCAGGTGATGTTGCTGCTTTGAAACCGGCATTTATATGGTTAGGTGGAGGTGCAGAAAATGTCAAGCTCCGTATTAGCGTGCAGGATATAGTGATGGCCTTGGGAGCACGTGTAGCTGATGGCATTACAACGCTCCGAACAGACTGAATGATTGAACTGCACTTGCCTACGAATGGACGAAGATGAGTGATGAATCGACCCCATTCATCGATACTTGTGGCTTCCAATCGTCCAATTTCTGCTCTTGATTGATGACAGACACTACGTACGTGTTGAAACTTTCAGTAGATGCCATTTCGTAGCACTCATCACACCTTTTTTCATATATTTTACACACAAATTTAAAAAATATGGAAATAGAAACCATTCTAAATAATAGTACTCCTCTTTTTTTTATCAAAGAAAGCACTTTTCCCGAGACCACAACGTTGTAACCGTGTCAACGTAACCCAACATCATCATCATGACAAGTCGGACTGACTTGGAAGCACGTCTCCAAGCTCTACGTAATCCTAAACGACCAGCTATTTCTCCAGCTCCACCTCCTTCTCTATACACATCTGCACGTACAAATTGTATATCAAGAGGCAGTCTGCCCGTGTTTATTGCTGTACAAGGTAATTAATTCTCCGTCTTCCTGAGTCTTTTCAGTAAATGAACCCATGACCATGACAAATTACTGCTTTTCAGATCTTTCCACGTGTTTTCCGACGTCTGTGGCACCTTCTCGAGCTCTGGAAGCCTCTCGAGGACATGATGAAGTGCTGCAATTGACAGCCGGTCAATTACTAGGCCCAGAGTATGAAAAGGCCGTGAAAGTCGCACAATACGCGATGGAGACGGAGCGAAGACAGATGCCACATACTGCAATTGATGCGTATATTCAAGCAGGACAAATGCTCATTGAGATTGGAAGACGACAAGCAGCACCACATTTACAGGACATTGTCAAAGCTAAAGCTCTGACGTTACTAGAACGAGCTGAAGGACTGTCAGAATGGACGAATGATGTCTTGGCAAAGGATTCGAGTCAACAGGCGCTTGCAGTAGCGTATCAGCAGTCACAGCAGCATTGTAATAAATTGCTGACGGACAAACAAGAGCTCGTATTCAAGATGCAACAGGATAATCGTCATCTGAAGGAGAGATTGAATCAGTTGGCGTTGCTGACAAAGATTCGAGGTCGTATGGTCAAAGTCATTCGGACTCGACGGGCACGGAAAGCGGCACAGGCGAAGGAGAAAGTGGAGATGGAGATGGAAACTGCAGCTCGAGCAACTCATGATATTATGAGTAGTCGCAGAGGATTGAATGAAGTGACTGGAGATGTTTTTGATTACTTGTACGAGGACAGAGAAGATATTCATGGTGGACCAAATGACGTCACAGGCTCTAGCTCGGAGGAAAATGAGGAGCCTGGAGAAGATTACCAACAGTACCAAACCCATCCTGCCTCAGCGACAGGTAGGTCACCGCGGGACGTACAAAAAGTGGGGCTTATCAATGAGCTGCATGAACGCATTGGGCTTCCAAAGATTGACCAATTCCGCAACTTTGAGCCTCTAACAAACGATCCAACCACCGACAAAAAGCAGGAGCAACTGCAGTCTGAACTGGAACTGGCTAAGCAAGAAGCAGAGAAGCTGCGAGCTGCTGTACACGAGATGGAACGGTGCTTACAACTTGCTGCCGAGCATTCCCAGCAGCGTTCGATTAAATTGGAGCAAGAAAAACGACAAGAGTTTGCAGCAGTCCAACAGCGAACTAGATCGCTTGCGTGACGAACTTGAGGCTGAACGACGGCATTCCACTTCTCTACACAGTAGCTCTTTAAGTGGACGAATTCGTTCTCTACGCAGTAGCTTTTGCAGCCATCGATCAGTGGCTTCAGATCCTGGCAGTGGAGAGATGAAAGACAATGGAGTGATGGATCAGCTTCGATCGTCATTCCATAAGGTGTTCCCTGGACAAACTGAAGAATCGGATGGTCGTGAGAATGTTTGTCCTGATCGCAGCGCATTGATTGAGCATAGCACGTATTCACAGTATTCTCCACGTCATACACGTAAGAGCAGCTTCAGTACCTCAGAAGCTTATGACGTAGACGAGGTGGAGATAGAAGAAGACGAGGATGGTGGTGTTTGGCTCTAGAGAAGTGAATGAATGGATGGATCTCATGATGATCTGTATACTTTTACGAGTTGAATGTATGCGTATTTTTGAAATAAACTCAAACTAAACATTCTACCTCTCTATTTCTAACTGATAACTTTCTACCCATGCGCTATTTCTATTTTTCGATTCCTTCTCCTTTTCTCAGTCTTCTTTCTCCTCTTTATCCATTTATACTATTATCCATACTATACAATGCCACAATTTCCCGACGTTCCTCGACACTCAAGTACAAGTATTGATATGAATTCCATCCTCCATCCTCCTTCCTCCTCCTCCTCCTTCTCTTCGTCTTTATCTGCTATACAAAGAAATACTCATTCTACCACTAATCGATCCTATACACCATTTTCATCCAAAAACCTCGTTCGTCCGAATGTTTTTCGTTCGTGTTCGTCTTGTCCGGAATATTTTACACGTATACTTGATTATCGTCAAATGGATTTAGATGCAACCTATTATCAAATGGTAACCTTATGTATACAACCTCGAAAAGTCTATAAAAGTGCTTATTATCGAAAACAGACGAAAAATCAGTGGGCACGAGATGATCCTGCGTTTGTTGTGATTCAAGTTCTCTTTCTAGTGGTGGCTACAATCGCTTGGGCTCTTGCATTTCATGTGGACCAGATGATCCAATATCTATCGTTACTATTCCATGCCATTATTATTGAATGGCTTAGTTTAGGGCTCATGATTTCAACCTTTTGGTGGTGGATTGCGAATCATCAGCTACGTCAGCGGAAAACGTACGACAAGTGAGCAATTGAATCATGATTTCTTACGGACGATTGATGCTGTCTTTGTGTGCTTCTCGACCAGTTTGCTAATGTTGATGCTGTTTGTTTGATGGGCTTTTGTTTTTGTTTTACTGTGGTCATGTCTAGTCATGGAATGGGTGATGCACTTTATGTCGAGCAACAAGTGGAATGGCAATTTGCCTTTGATATTCATTGCAATTCATTCTTGATCTTGTTTCTTTTTCTCTATGTGGTGCAGGTAAGATTAAATGAGGTTTACGTGACAAGAAAGATGAGGGTTGCAGACAAGATTGACTCTTGTTTTTGTTGTTGTGATTGCTAGTTTTTCCTTGCACCATTGCTCATCTCTGACTCGTTCTTCATGCTGCTAGTTGGAAACCTCTTGTACTCGTTAGGATGGGGTTTCTACACGTACATTACATTCCTGGGCTATATGGGTGCGTTGATCTATAGTTTTGGTCTCTGTTGATGACTTTTTCATGATACTGACCATTTACATTGTGTGATATCTGGTTTTAGCACTACCTTTCCTCCACCGCACAGAGCAATTACTGCTGCCACTTGTTGTCATTCTAGCACTCTTTGTATCTACTTTGGTGCTGCACGCTGTATTTGGTGCACAGATAAATTTTGCACACTTATCGATGCAGTACTATTATGCTCCGTAGTGACGTGGCTTAGTGACGTGAATGCAATGAATGAAGAAATCAGCGAACTGTTGATATTGTGATGTGCCCAAGTGTTTTTGAAGCAAGTTTTTGTTGTTAGAAGCGGTTCATGGCAACGCAGTAGTAGGTATTCATTTCCACTAACACCTGTATGACAGTAAAATAAGGAGCTGCACTTAAGCTCTCAGTCTTGGTTTGTCGTTTTGTTCTTGTTACTATCGGGCTCCAGATCATTGAAAAAGCGTCGAGACGAACACGGCCACTGCTGCTGTAAGTGAGAGCGCACTTTTAAGGCTTACGGCTGTCGACTGCTCCGGTTCAATGGCGTTGTTTCGGGCGGGCAACGATCCCGTTGAGGCAGTGGCGTCAAGGGACGAATCGGTCACCAACCATTCCTTTAGAAAGTCGCCCAAAAGCACACCTCCAGGACTACGGGTAGCATTATTATAGTAGTCATCCGCCGTGAGAAACACGTGCTGAGAAGAGTTGACGTAAAAGGTCGAGACTTCACTGCTCAGGTTCTTGTAGACGTCAATGATTGCAGTCATATTCTGCATGCACGAAAAACAATATGAGTCTATGACTCTGGTACGAGACAAAATGACACAAGAACAAGATGCAACGTACCGAGTAAAAGTCTTCTCCACTAATGAGATTAGGAAATGGATAGCCAAGAATCCCCTGTGCTACGAGTTGGTAAAAATAACGTTGAGTTTGATCATACATGCTGTTCAAGAAGAGCCACTGGGCAGCAGGTACGTCCTCAATCATAAACGACATCATTTCCGCCACGGTCAATTCATTATCATCACACTGGTCCCAGAGCTTGGCCGTTACTTTCAAATCAAGTTCACACGAGCCATAGTATGAAATGAGTTTTCCAGCATTATAATTACTTGGTAGAACACCAACATAACTATCACCAAGTACTGAGTATCGAATGTTCTTTTCTTTTACGTGCCATAGATCCGCAACAAGAGCACTGAGAGCTTGAGCACCCATGGAGCCTGCACTTGATCCACTCAGTATAATTTCATCCGGATTTGGATAATTCCTAACTGCCCAGTCCAGCACAGCTTTGGTATTTGTATACCCGACTTGATGTAACGTCATATTATGCCCTTGACATTCGGGCCTATTCAATAGTGTATACAATTTATTATCCGGAATCCGCTCGACATGATTCCCAAGATGTAAATCACCCGTACAATAGGGGATATGTACTATATTATATTCCTTAAAGAGATTCTTCTCATAAGTACGATTCAGAATCCCACTACTAGAAGGTTGAGCATTTGGATGAAAGGTTGGATACATACATTGTAATCCAAAAGCACACGTGAGATTATCAATACAAGCACCACCACCTTGAAAATATAGCAAAAGTTTGGCTTTAGTTGGAGCTGGAAAGATTTGGAAAAAATACGTGGCATTTGTTTGAAACTTTACGTTTTCATGGGTAAAATCATCAAAAGCACAGCGTGTATTACCACCTGGATAGATAATCGTACTCTGATCAAGTACAGACGTAATGAGATCATCAACTGGACAAGAAGTCAAGTCATTCATGATACAAATTTCATCTCCAGGACGAACTTGAGCTCGTGTATGGGAGGATGCAAGTATGATAAAAGTAGATGCAAGGAGACACTTTTGCTTCCACATACGACTTTGTTACTACTAGTAGGAAGTGTGAAGAAATGAGAAGGGTTGAAAGTGAACCTAAAGGAGACGGAGCTTTCTGTTACTGGAAAGTTACGACCATCAATCAGCCAGGTGTGAAGTAGTTTTTGTGATCTCGAGTACGATATTATCCTTTTTTTAGAGTTAAACGATTCGTCTAAAACAGATGGAAAGTTTGGGTGTCTTTTTTATCACAAGACGTTGCCGTTGTGACAGGATCTTTTGACGTCTTCCGACGTGGTGATGACGTCTGGTATACAGTGTGGTACTTGCTGTTTGCGGTCATATAAAAGTGGTGTCATGATCGTTAGATTATAAACTTTAGACATGATTAAAGGATTCTCCGAAACGTATTTATTAAGGGGATTCAGTACCGTATTTTCTTGATACTTATGTATTCGTATCAAGATTATATCTATAAAACTATATATGCCTTGGACAGATAGACCGACAGCTTTTGCTGCAGATACTGCTTTACAACTCATACAAGACATTATTTAGATCAGAACGATGGAGACATTTCGGCGCTCATATGTAATTCTGGACAAGACAAATATCAACGGGCCGTCTTTTTTGTGTTCAAACAAGTGTGCAACTGTATATGATACTGGGCTGTCAGTAGTAAGGAGCTGGCGCGATGTCACGGTTGTCAAAACTTCAAGACCATTCATTGGACCAGAATTGTTCCATCAGTGGTACTATTTGATAATAGGTCACGTAAGCTGCTGTATTTGAAGAAAACAAGTCAGTAAGAAAAAATTCGTGTCGTCTTTTAAACACAGTTAACGTAATGGCTGCTTGCCGGTATAGGAAATAGCCAGATACAACCAAGTAGTACAGGGCCCTCTCATTTGCTAGTCTTAGTTTAGTATACTTGACTCCTAGACCAGAAGCTACAACTGCACCTTTAACTAGAAACACGTTCGTCGAAAGTGCGACGACGGATAGTCAGTCGTAAGACTGTGCGTTAGAATTGCCATCACCAGGTGGCTGAGTCATACTGGTGTGTATCCAATGGACCATGTATGCCGTAGAAAACAAACAGAAGGTCACTAAGTGGTAGAAGAACGTCTGTCTCATCAAGGATGGTAGTGAAATTGCAGCAAATCAGTCCTGTTAACCCAAGAACAGTCTTTTACTTGATTTCTACAAGGTACGCGCATGTTTATCCAACACACACTTGTCTTTCCTTGCAAAAGAAGAATGCGTAGACACTAGCAATGCACTGCTCATAACGTATCGTAAACGGAAAACGACATGTGCTTGTGTGAGCAATCCCAAGGCATGTAAATGACTTTTATACGTATACGTCAAAGCATTCACACATTGTCATTTTGCGTCAGTCAGTCGAGTTGATAGCTTTTGTTGCAATGTTTTCAATACAGTGTTGCTAACTTAAAGTTGAATCTGTCCAACAAATACGTCACAATTTTCAAATGTGTCCACATATCATTAGTGTCAACCACTCGACCAACCACCTCACTAAAAAAACCTTAGAATCTCTCTCATTTCTGACGCCGTTTCAAATCGTTTCTAAACTTAGTTGTGCTTTAGCACGCTTAATTTCGTCCACCACCCATAGCTAACGGTCCCCTCCTTTGCCAGTATGTCAGATGCGACGTTAAGTAACGTGTATTGGGGCCATAGTGTGGGTGTATTAGTCCTCTCTGCGTCTGGTTTATTATGGAGAAGTCGTGCAACGGAAGGTCAAAAGAAGTTATTAAAAGACGATATTGTGACGCTCTTGTGGACACCTGTCGGACCGAAGATGCATCATTTGAAAGTCTATCAAAAGGGTGGAAAGTATGTGCGTTTTACAGGACTAAAGGAACAAGATGTGGCACAATTAAAGAAACACGTGGAGAAATATTTTGATCGTGAGCTGGAACAAGAAAAAGTGGCCACCGATGGCGGCAATTGGGGTGATATGAAGTTTGAAGGACCGAATTTGAATTTTCGTGCAACGAATGCCAGTGTCATGGAACTTCCTCTCGAACAAATATCACAATGTGCACTTCCTGGTAAACATGAAGTGGAATTGCAATTTCATGAGGATGATACAGTGGCTGGAGATGAAGAGACACTTGTGGAAATGCGACTCTACTTACCTCCAGGTGATGGAGAAGATGATGGAGTTGTAACAGCAGAGGAATTTCGACTACAAGTACTTAAGGAAGCAAATATTCGTAGTGTCATGGGAAAGAGTATTGTGGATCTAGACGAAACCATTGGTACGTTTCTCACACCACGTGGACGCTATGGTGTCGAGATTTACGGTTCTTTTCTACGCATGCACGGCAAGACGTTTGATTACAAGATCATGTACTCAAACATTAATCGCTGTTTTCTACTCGAGCTTCCTAATGGTATTAATACGGCTTTTGTTATAAGTCTTGAGGAGCCGATTCGACAGGGTAAACAGGGATATCCGCATCTTGTACTGCAGCTGAGCAAGAATGATGTCCACATTGATGTCAATTTATCGAGCGATGAGATCAAGAAATACAATGGTAACATTCACGAGCGAATGTCTGGTGCACTGCCTCAGATTGTTGCCACGTTATTCAAGTTCATTATAGGCAAGAAGGTCTACACGTCGGGTAAGTTCAAGACGCACAGTGGCGACCGTGCTGTCAAGTGTGCCGTCAAGGCGCAGAGTGGCGTGTTGTTTCCGCTGGAAAAGTCGTTTATGTTCATCCACAAGCCTACAACCTTTATCCGCTACGAGGAGATTGATTACATTGAGTTCCAGCGCTACGCTGGACAAAGCGGATCCTCAGCGAGTCGAAACTTTGATCTGCTTGTGAGCTGCAAGTCTGTGGGTGGAGAAGCTGCGCGTGAGTATATTTTTTCGGCTATCGATCGTCGTGAGTTTCCAGAGCTGAGTCAGTTCCTGACATCGAAAAAGTTGCGTATCCGCAATCTCAAGGAGTCGCACGGTGCCAGCGTACCAGTCGGCTCGAAAAAGCGTGACATTAACGAGTATTTAGAGGAGCTAGGTCCAGAGGAGGGTGAGATTGAAGACGACGAGGATGAGGAGGATTCGGACTTTGGTCCAGGTGATGCCTCTGGTAGTGGTGAGTCAAGTGACTTTAGCGACGAGGAGCTCAGTGGGAAGGATTCGGACGGAGACAATGGTGCGGTGGAGAATGAGTCATTGAAGAAGGACAAGAAGAAGAAAAAGAAGTTGCATAAGAAGCACAAGTTGACAGAGGAAGAGTAGTAAGAAAAACGTTGCTGATCATGCAAATAGCTGGACATTCTTCTGCAATAAATACATTCACATGTGTGTATCAACACCATCTTGTTGTTTGTTGTAAGAGCATGTTATGTAGCCATCTTTCATCCTTAGTAGCCATGTTTAATTAATTTTGTACCTGTATGTTTTAATATATATATTCCCGACGAAAAAACAGGTTTTTGGCTGACGATAGGAATACCAGCAAATGGATCATCGTCGACTTCACCGTCGAACTCGACAACAGGTTGGACTCCATGGTCCAGGTCCACAACATTTGGATATCGTGCAACAGATTGCAAGTGTTATTGCACTATCGTTGCAGCAAAATCAGTGTGAAAACGTCCATAATGGACGATCTCGTCGTATTGGAGGTAGTAAACAGGGATGTTTGGCATCGACGCTTCGTGTGGCTCAACAGAACGTGTCGGACATGACGATATATCTTCAACAGCAACGACAAGACAGTCAGAGGGATACAATTAGGACAAGACAAGATCAAGAAAATGGTACAAAACAGAAAGATGGAATTCCTTGTGATAAGTCTACAATATGTGGCATTTGCTTGGAACGGAACGTCGTTCATGGTGACAAGACAAAAGAAGATGAATTGTGGGAGAGACTGTCTTGTGGTCATGTCTTTCATTCTCAATGTATTACACGTTGGTTACAGTATCAACGTGTTTGTCCAATGGATCGAAGACCAGTGGACTAAATCTGTTGCTGAGTGTCTTGAAGGTAGCGTTTACACGGAGTTTGCTCACATGATTATTCATTTTGAGCTTGTTTGCTGACATGTCAATGAGTTGATGTCTAGTGAGGCAGCAACTTGAGGGCAAATAATAACAAGGAAGCCATTCGTAAGCATGTCTGATGACAGTAGCTGTATCTACCTCCATACTGTTTATACTGTGGATAGATAGTACTAGCTGATAGAAGCAAGGTTTCAAGACGTCCGATAACTGGACGATAGAATATGCAAGAAGGCATCTGTATCATATTGCACGCGCTTACATTAATTACACTAATAAGTCGCCACGAGCACCAGCCGCAAAAAAAAGGAATAGGCAAATCCTCGTACAATGTAGACAGCCACGAGGAAGGCGGACACGTAATAATAGCCTAGCGTCTGCTAGCTCGAGTACCCGTCCTTCTGGCTCGACAAGTATGGGCCCTTTATTTCGTCAACGGCTTCAAGACAGCCATCTTGAATCCCCCGCTTTAAAACGGATAGAACCTCACCATCACGCCGATAGCTTGTTCTTCTTGTGATCAGCCGTCAACGGCGCATCCTGCTGCGAGGTCTCTAACCGGCGTTTTCGTTCGTTTGCAACGAGGTGAGATGACTCTTCACCAGCAACTGCAGCTAGTGCACTCAACTGCAATGTTGAGCCATTGGATGGAAGACCCGTTGACTCAGACGACGCGACTAAAGACAAAATGTCCTCAATCGACGAATTACGCGGAAATCCCGACTTGAATCCACCCAGCGAGCTCAACTTGTCGTATGAGGCGCTCGAAGAGAGTGCGCTTAGGTTTGAGAATGACGGGAAGCTGCTGAGGTGGTCGCTAGAACCAAAACGAGAAAGCATGTCCAAGCTTGGCACACGCGCCATCTTATCGCTTGAAGGCACCCTCGGAATACGTTGTTCTCCACCACCCACCGCGTGAAGCTTATCCATTGACGGAATGCGCGGTAGTTTGTCCAGCGAAGCAACACGAGAAAGCTTATCAGCAGAAGGCACACGAGGCATCTTGTCCATGGATGGCACGCGAGGAAATATTCCTGACGAACTACGCGGCATTTTGTTCAGAGGCTTGGGAATCTGAATCTGGTTTCCAGACCCAGACGAAGCTGAAGCGTTGTGGCTTGGGCTCAGACGTTTCGTGGCACCAGTGTTAGCAAAGGTACCCGAGGCGCTAGTCGTTGTGCACACGACACTGCTGTTGGTATTACTGGTAGTGCTGCTGCTGTTTGGACGCGACTGTGCATTTTCACCGCCTTCCCGCTGCTGTTCCTCGTCCATAATATTCTCACCAAGCCTCCTCCGGGTGCTTCCCGACAATGTGTGTTCCTTGCTTGACTGCTTGTTGCTATCGCTTGATTTATCCGTCGCATCTCGTGTGTTCTGGGCTGCCAACGCCGTAGTTGCCCCAGTCGGAGTGCTCAAACCATGATCCTGCAACAAACTAGATAGATGTTCTAACGATTGAATGCGCGGAAAGTAAGCGTTGAGACTCTCGCCAACCGACAACGGCCTCGACAAGCCACTCATCATTGTGTCCTGGCTTTCAGTCGACACATACGGGCCGTTAGGATTCATTCCGCCAAATCCTGACGACGTTGCATGCTGAAAGTTTTCAATGCTGGCCACGCGTGGAAACAAGCACGAGAAACTGTCAATCGAAGACACACGTGGAAACGCGTCACCTAAGTTACCGTCCATGACTAAACTACTAGGAGAATTATTGTCCTGAACCTGTCCTTGGCTCTGGGTTTGCACGCCAGCAATACCAAGCATCAACACATTGTTGTGGTCGCCGTTAAATAGATGAGATGGAACGTTATTATTGCCCTGCTGTGGGGGATGCAGTGGTGGCTGAACAGGCATACCACCTCCTCGACCCGGTGTACCATATCCTCCACTGGGTTGTTGAACAGGTACTGATCGAGGTTCCTGCTTTGTTGTTGACCGCACGGGAGCAGAAGAGTATCCTCCTTGCTGCTGCTGCTGCTGCTGTTGCTGTGAATGAGAGTGTGGCGACATGGCTGTAGCTGAAATTCCTCCTGCGTATCCAATCGATCTGGTAGTTCCAAATCGATTTTTATCCCTCGACAGTTCCGACTCGAGTCGTTTCTCACGTCTTCTTTGATTATACTGTTCTCGTTCCAAGTATGTTTTCTCTAGCTCTGCTAGATCCTTTCGAATATTCTCCATATCGTCCTTTGATACTTCATCTTCTCGTCGACGAAAGATAATTTTACCAATACATTGATCTCCTGTATATTTCTTGGAGATCCGCATGGGATCACAATTTAATAATTTCGATAGAAATGTGCGTAAGGTCGTTCCTTCTGCTAATGGTAAATTCCCCTTTTTAAATTCTTCAATCAATCGATCACAATAGGCACTTTCTTCTGCGGTCCATTTACCTTTTCTCATGGTTATGGGTAAATTTGGAATTAATTGAGTACTTGAACACTCGATTGTCTTGCCGATACAAGATGAAAGACACGTTCCTCGTGTTGTTGATCCATCATGTAAATGAGAGTGTTTAGTAGTAGTACTACTGCCAGTAGTAGTAGTAGTACTCATACTAGTAGAATTAGTAGTATTACGTACTGTATACGGAAGACGACGTGATGTTTGAATTGGTGTCCAACAGGTTGGACATATTTTGTCCTTATCAAGTGCTTGTTCAATACAATTTGCATGAAAGTGATGATGACAGGGTTCCAATAAGATATTCACATGTGGATTACAGCATAAAAGACACGAGCCCAGTGAGGAGGAGGAGGAGGTGGAGGATGATGATGATGGCATATCCATTTGATCGAGAGCTGAGGAGGATGGGGTTCCATGAGGTGTAGGAACTGATGGATTGTATTGCAATGGGATCCCACTATTAGGTGGTGGAGGTAAATAACTGCTACTCATCGAGTTTAAATGAGGTCTGTGCAATGCTTCTCCCGTTCCCATATGAAGATCACGGTATTATTAGCCTCTAAGAAATAATACAAAACGACGGAGAGAGAGGGGGGGGAGAAAGGTATTACTTAGTATATGGCGGAACAAAAAAGACGTGAGACTGTTGGTACAATTATTTGATTGGTGATTTACCTTAATATTATTATACGACTGACGCAGGACTAATATTTACGTCCAGAGAGAAAAAATAATGGGAAAAGACAAAGCGAGAAGAACAGTTCCCGCCGTCTGGGGCAAAACAGCAGGTACGATCGACAAATACTAATTCCGAGGTCAATTTATGATTATTCTGAGGTTTTACTCACTAAATATGATCATGACTGATTCCTGCTTTTCTTTATCCCGTACAGAGTAAGGACTAATGCCCCTCCTGCGTGACTACTGAAGCAACTGACTAAAACTTCAGTTGGCATGGCGTACTGCTTTTCGGTTTCACTTGGCTCTTCATGAAGCAGTTTCGTGCCAGTTCCATTGCATTGCATTGTGCTTCGATTAACTTCTGGCTCTAGTACACTGGCTTGAGGTATCCACATGACTATCGGTCGCTGTTGTGGAAATTCTCACCAGAACGTACAAGGTCGAGCGGACAAATCAGAAAAGCTTTGATGATCCTTTTGGCTCGTCGCTCCACATTGGACTGGAAGTATGAAATGTTTTTGCTTCTCTTCACTAGAGCACAATATGAAGAATTGGTCATTGGTGAACGCCCCACTCAGACGGTGCGAGGTTGGTGGTGCGTGTGGAGACAGATCCAGGCTGCATTTTTGACGTCTAGGTGTTTTGTCTCATTTACGTCTACAGATTTGCATTGAACTTTCACAGATGATATGTGAAAAAGTAGCGAGCGTCTTATGCGTAGCAGTGGCGGAATGCATAACGACGGTGCTCGTACAAATTTAATTTCCTGAAAAGATCTATACGTTGCAAATAATGATCTTTTAACAGCTCAGCTCGCTCAGCTCAACCATATCATGTGCTCGACAGATGGATGATATTATATTCTTCGAGTTTTGTGTCCAAATCATGTCTCAGGTAGTTTGGTATATAAACGAAGTGAAGCTATCCTAAGTTCAACCAAGAGTTAGTCGATTGCGTCTTCTTTGTATCGTCAAAGTCAGCACTAAAAGCACCTATTCGACGTCCAATTCGCTCTATTTGTACTTAATCTGTCGTCTAAAACTGAGCTGACATTTCTCACCTTAGTCCTAATCACCCATTAGTAAGATCAACATGTTCTTCATGATGAGTTAGTTGTCAAAGTAAGTAAATGATGCTAGTCCAGTGCCAAGTAAAAGATACACGCAGCATCTTTTGTAGTCCTTGCTTTATATTGTCTCAATGCCCTTGCGTGGAGACATGTGTGTGTAACATAAACTGTTGAATTTTAAGGATTTGTTAAATAGGAGAAGCAAAATGGACATGATGTATTATGTAGCCATCTTGCTTCAATTCGACCATCACTCTCTCTCTTTGACCTATAACTCAACAACTGCAAGACAGCACATGTCTCTTAGAGCCATATTGATAGCAACAAATACAATCATTCTGATATGTTTGTAGTATAGAAGAAGGGATGCAATTGAGACATAGAACCAATACAAACGACCTCACAGGTCTTTAGAGCTTTGTTCAGAGATCAGATACATGAGTGAGAACTCCATTGACTTGTTAGTGTGGCAGTGTTGTATTCGCTTGGTCAGGTTTATTCAGCACACATCGCATCTTGTACGGGGACCTTGGAGAATTTGCAACGTATGGCTGGAAAGTGTCCGAGTTGTTGAGGTTGTACGCGTTCAAGGAAGCAAAATCAGGTCGGAGTGCTCTGCGAGCGTATGTATCATTAAGTGAAGCCGCGTGCAATGTACTTTTCTCTTCATCTCAGAGTATCTGTGTACCCATAAGCATGAGCTGCTTGAGTACAGGAGATGGAAGCGGCACCATCTCGAACCCTTGGGCAAAGAAGTCTGTGCTAACGTGGACAGTCAACTGGTTGATTATGGTCACACCTTTGGCAGATTGGCCAGCGTGACACATGAAGACAGCGCAATGACCTGTGCTAATGCCGCTTTGGCTGGTATTGCTTTGCTTCGAGGTTTGGCCACCCACTTTAGTTCCGTGATACCACACAGTTCTACCAAAAGACGACTTTTGCTTCATACTAGTGGCCAAGTGTTCTCCCATCTTGCACCACACGTGCTCAATGCTGAGCTTTAGCTTCTGCAATTGACGTTTGTATTTCAATTGCTCCCGCTGTAACGCGTTCCTGTTGTCCAAGCCAACGCCTGAGTTGCGCCAGCTACGTCATCCTTTTTCTTGTTTGTGTGCGAATCGGTCTTGCTCAAGGAATATCATGAACGATCATGTGGTTCATCAAGTGGCTCCACACAAGCAAATTTTTGTTTACATACAGAGTGTTAACTTCATTCTTCCGAACGAGTGTGAGCTTGAGTGATTTTACGCTATGCGGAGCCTTAGAGACAGCAGCTACCGGTGACTTATTCGCAAATATTCCATGTCCATTTTGTTTTACCAGTCACTGCGTCTGGATGAGATCGTCTGATCAACATGGCGAAGATGACCAAAGTTGTTTGACCGGAGTGTTCAATGTTTGCGTCAACTGTGTCTGGATTGGAGTCAACTAAAGAACTAGAACACGACTGAGAAGAACGAATAGGACTCTTAACGTTTGTGTGTGATGTCATTCTTTCATCATGTTGACATTATAAGTGGTGTGATCTATCTATCCCACCAAAGCTACAGAGGAACCCTTGGTCTCTTCAATCGAAAACAAGGGAAAGAAAGAGAGAGTCACATACTTCTGTGTGTTTTCTCGGACATCCTCTTCTAAGCGAATACATCTCTATATCTTATAAACTACGAGCTTTCATTCAGCACGTCGCGATATCAACTGATAACACTCTTCAGTGCGCTTCCACGAGGCGACCTTGACGAAACACTTTTTTGCTTGACTTTTTAATCTCCATGGAGCGTGGTGTTCGCGGGCTCGGCTTGGCCGCAGGAACAACTTCGGCGGTGGTTGCCACCGTCTCAACCATAACGGCTGGTTTGATTGTGGTCACCACCGCCTCAACCGTAACGGCTGGTTTGATTGTGGTCACCACCGGCTTAACCGTAACGGCTGGTTTGATTGTGGTCACCAGCGGCTTGGCGTTAGTGATCACTGGCTCAGAAGTAGTGGTGTTTAAGCTTGCCGAGACCTCCTGCAACAAGGATAGGGCAGCTGCACTAGACCGACGACGTTTTCCACCGTTGAAGACAGCACGGCGCGGCCGGTGTACACCATACCGAGGCAATTTTGCGCGGTCTTCCGATCTCATCTCGGGTTCCTCCAGAGCTCCTACCGACGTAGGCTTTATGGGCGTTGCTGTGTCCACTGTTGTGTTTGTGAACACTGTAGTTGATGTTGGTTTAGATGCAGCAGCCTGCTCAGGGTCGAACAACACTGCTAGCGGAGCCCTAGGCTTTACAGGCTTTAACGACTCCGGCTGGAATAGCACCACACCAGGGCTCTTGGCTTTCGCTGCAAAAGTTGTCATGGAAGTTTTCGTACGGAATGATGCTGCCTTGGGTTGCACAGGAGTCGGAGGTTGTGACCTAGTTGATAGTACTTGAGCCGATGGTGCTACAACTTCTGGTTTACTTGCAGCATGCACGAGAGAGTTAGACTGGGCAGGTGGCGCAGTAGGAGCTGGGGTCTTTGGCTTGGCTGGCATAGAGTAAGATGAAGTATCCGATGCCGGACGTTTGCGCTTTTCTGGTGGAGGAGGTGGTCGTGACCTTGGCTTGACCGACGTCATTTGTAATGTCTTGCACACAGATGTGTCCTCGTCGCTACTGGTGTCTGCGTCTGGCACAGGCTTGCGTCCGTAGGCACCCTTAACAATCGGAGCTCGTCTACGCTTTTCTGATCCGATACCAACAGGTTGATCCCCAAGGGAGCTGCGTGTATCCAAGCTACGATGACCATGATAACTCGAACCTATATCTGACGAGCGGGCATCGAGAGATGCGCGGAAGTTGATTGAAGCTCTGGATGGAGTCACAATTCGCTTGCACAAGCACGTATCTGAACATCCATGTTGTCGGTGAAAAGATCTCCCGCTCTTGCGAAGACTGATGTAGTGGTCGTCCATGAGCAGTAGGTTAATCGTCTTGCCTTTACCTTCCTTAGTCCTCGCGTATCTATCCGTATCAATATGCAATCGCTTGACAGGACCAGTGTGCACGATGATGTTAATGCCCAGTAGTCTAGACGCGGCGACAAGCTCCGGATGGCCTCCTAACGCACCTGCTTCACGAAGTCGCGAGCAGTACTCGACGACTCCTTCGCCAACTACAAACGGCTCGAAGAAAGCGCATTCGAGATCAATAAAGTCCACGAGACGCCGACGGAGCTCCAAGTGACGTCGTTCATGTCCGTAGAGCTGATCACTTAAACTTCGAAAGAGACCATTGCCATCCTTCCGGATTGGTGTTATTTCCCAGCCGAGACGGAAGTATTGGCGCTTATATTGTTCCTCGCTCGTCCAATCGGCATCTCGGGAAGTGACACTGCTGTCTGCTACGAACGAATTATCGTAAGCGACACGAGGTGCATACGCTTGAGCACTAGTCAATTGGCGATGTGCTCGTTGCGCTGCATGACGCTGGTAAGTCTTAGTTGTACCGCGATGGCGATTCCGTGCATGGTTTCGAAGCCAAGCGAGTGACATTCCGTTGGTAGCGTTGGTACAAATACACGTAGGGCGGGCACTTTATTTTTTTACAATTGCTCGACACAAGTCAATTGCAAATGAGTGTGGTAGTCGGAGAATGATGAACCAAGGACGTGCTAGCGAGATTAAAGAGAGAGCATGCTGTGTGTGTGGGGGGGGGAAGGGACAGACAGACAGACGGTGGACCAACCTCTAAAAGGACCACACACGCACCCATAGGAGCTCCTTGAGCCTAAACTATTCAGATACTTGATAGTAGACGACGAAACATAAATGACAAGGGGGCAGCAGAATATATCGTTCGAAGGTTTTGAGGACCGTTTGTTTCTTAACTTAATGCATTCTCGTAACGAACAAGTTGGATGGTATCACCTGACGTTATATGATGATTTGTGATTGATCAAGGAACCACTGGTCAAGTAGTGCCATCTCCATTTGGCTTTCATAGTTAGTTAGTTTCTCACGTGCTACGCGTTTCAAGACTGTCCCTGAAGGTGGGACCGAAACCGAATAGTTGCATTGTTCTTCGTTTCTTGACGATGTACACCGGAAGCCTTCCTACTATCGTGACAGTCAGCACCGAAGCAGTGCAGTACGTAACGTTCAACGTGCGTGGTACTTACTACTGTGGACAGGCAGACAAACCTCGTCATGGGAACCTTGCAATTGCAAGTTTCTAGTCCATTAATTTTGATCGGCCTGTCATATGACATTAACTGGATTCACCAACAGAAACGAAAGCGCGTTCCTCGATTTCGAATGCAACGTCCAAGACTCGTCGACCTGACATGCGCAACCTATTGCTACAATACTACTACGCCCTGAACCTTTGTCTCAAAAGACATGACGATTTCTACAGCTATTAGCGCAACAATGCAACAACATGAAGACATAAACACTGTCTTACCGAACGTTCTACTGACTGTCAAGTTGTTCGTTTACTCATGAAAACTCTAAGTATTGTCTGTCTAACATAAGGCCATAAACAAGCAAATCCAAGTGATTGAGTCCGTACAATTTCTATAGGTCGTGACAGGCTTTTTCCATCCAGATGGCCTTTGACTCGCCTTGCTTTTGATTGCATGACTTGACATTGAACTACTCCCGTCAACAAGTTTTGGTTAGTGTCTGATTCATTTTTTTGTCACCAGAGCAGGATGTGCCCGATTTGGCGAGAAAAAGAGTTGTCGAATGCCATCAGTTCTACGCATGACAATAAATGTAATGAAGTGCTAATATTGTCTACCATACTGACGTCCATCTAACTAAGAAGCGAACGCCAATGTAAATAGAACACATTACCCACTATCCCTTTACCTTGTCTATTTTGCATATACAGTAGCACGATCTGGATTTATACTAGGAATTGTAAGTGAGACTTTGAACAAGAATTTCATATTCTCATGCTTCTTACTCTCCATTAAGAGTCGCAAAAAACGCTGACCTGAATTATCGACTTATTCGCGTGTGTTTATTCCTATTATAATTAGAATACAGTTTAGAACGCCAGAAAATCGAGGAGCCGGTTAAGTACGATAGGTTGAAAACAGGTGAACATCATCCTTTTGTCATGACGAACTTCAGTTAAAGAGCATTTTTCGTTTAAAGAGCAATTGATTTCTCCCATCGCCTTGAAAACAATTCGCGCCATGAGCAATAATATTAAGTCACGAGCGGGTTCTGCGAAGGAGCGTAGCGTCTTTGGTACGTTTATAGTACGATTATGACTTACGCCATCTTCTTTGTCGATATCTCTGCTACATTCCGTACTTTTCCTACCGTCATATCTTGCTCTACATCGTCTCTAACTTGCATTGTTTGTCCTAATGCTCTCTTCTATTTTCTATGACATTTATATTTATATATATCAATCATAGTCGGTAATATCCCATACGATGTCACAGAGGAGATGCTCAAGGAAATCTTCTCAGAAGCAGGATCTGTGGTCAATTTCCGGTGCGTAAGAACATGCGAATACGTTCAAAGTGGCTTGAAAAATGATGAAAAGAGCGTCATATGTGTGACTGGTCTCTTCTTTTTACGTTTATAGTCTCGTGACAGATCGAGAGACGGGGAAACCAAAGGGATACGGTTTTTGTGAATATGCAGATGGAGCGACAGCTTTAAGTGCCATGCGGAATCTCAATGGCTACGAGATTAATGGTCGTAACCTTCGTGTTGATTTTGCAGACGGTGGTGACAAGTCTGGAGGAGTAGAGAGAAAACGACATGATAATGGAAGTCAGAATCGTCCTGGAGGACCTAGCAGTGGTAATTTCAGAACGGGTGTAGCTGATGGAGGACCGCCTACGATGGTGACAGGAGAAATGGCAATCCATGCGATTGAGTCAGCCATTGCACGGCTTGGGCCAGTCAAGCTATATGATATGTTGGTGCAACTCAAGGAACATGCGAGGCAAAAACCAGAGGTTACAAAGAGTATTTTAATGGCAAACCCGGCGCTCACACATGCAATTGTGCAGAGCTTCAAGACACTACAGATCCCCATTCCGTCGCCAACAGAGGCACAACCAGTGCTACTAGCCCCACCTTCGACAATGCACCAACCAACGCCGATTGCAGGAAGGATAATGCAGCCGTCAGTACGCCCATCAATGAATGGAATGATGGGATCTGGTCAGGGCATTCTAGGCATGGCTCCACCGGCAATGATGGCTTCTCATCCTCCTGCATCAGCGCCAGCACCGACTAAGTCTGGTGGTACACGTTGGAGTGCGCGACCCGGACCCTTGGCTACTCAGTCGACGAGTGCTGCCATGGCTAATAGGGCTGCCGTCGGCATATCTGCTTCTAGTCCCATGCAAGCTCAGCCCCAACCAGGTTTAATACCTACACCAACTGGACTGTCACAGTCGAGTGGACCTTCCAATAGTAACTTGGCACATGCTAATCGCGACCCACGACGACCAGGAAGAGACCCGCGTTTGGCTAAGAGACCGTATCCCGCTGATCAAGGAGTGATGTCGACGACGGAGGACAAGGATGCTTCAAAGCGTGCCAAGCCCAGTGCTGCCGATGGCGACGCCTCTCCGCCTGGTCACTTTGATGCTATCGCGGAACTTGCGCGTGATATGACCCCGGAAAAACTGGATATGCTGCCACCAAACGAGCGGCAGATGCTGCTGGCTTTCATGCAACAGAACAATATTCCGTTTTAAGCCATGGTAAGGAGTGTTCATGATGGTATTCTAATGTCCTACAGGTAGATGTGACTAAGGTTAATAGCCTTGTTGTGCGATGACAACCAAAACATCTCTTTTGAGAGATAGTAAGTGGTCACTTTTTTCATAGTCCAAGCACAGCGACAGACCCTGGCTTTTGTTTAGCGCAGCAAAATGTCAAAGACCTGATGGATGAAACCAAAAAATATAGAGCTCTTTATCATCTAAAAGTAAAGCAGTAACCTACGACGCACCGCCTGCTTCGGCGTAGCTTACGAACCAAGTCTCAAGTCACACTCACCGTCGATTCTTGTTGCGTTGATTGGTACGCTGAGCCTTACCAGCACGTCTACCACCTTTCGATGCAGCCGGACTCTTTACCTTGCTCTTCTTCCGCGCTCCTGGAAAGCCCGACATATCATTCGTGCTTTCCTTCGAATTGCTTTTTGCGTGGCGTCGCTTACCACCAAAGCCAAATTTAGCATCTTTGGCTACCCGAGCCGTGTTCATGCGTGGTTTCTTCATACCACCATCACGCTCTCCACCCGCATGTTTTCGCTTTCCATTCACAATCAAGTCAAGTTCTTCATCTTGATTCTCCTCGAGACCACGTCGTTTGTCATTATTTCCTTTTCGTTTTTTCCATTGTTTCACTGCCTCAAGTGTCTCTTTTTTCTGATGATTACGTTCCTTGATCTTCTCGGCTTGAATCTCTTTTGCAACCTTACGATGAGCTTGTGACTTTTTACGTTCTTCTACTGCTGTAATCTTTTTTTGTTCATAAATGAGTTTATCCTTGACTTTGGCCATATGTGCATCACTTTTCAGCATTTCTGCAAAATAATCATCAGGTCGTTTATAGACCACCTGATTCTTCTTCAATTGTTCCTTTGCTAGACGTACCATAGCCAATGTATTGGTATAAAAAGCTACTTCTCGCTTTAGATCATCATGAACATTGTCTAGCTCCAATGGAATGACACACGTCTCGAGCGTCTCAATCCATGGCAATTGTTTAGTATTCCAGTCCTTGACAAGAGACAATAATGCTTCGGAGTTATAGACGCCCTTCCTCTCGTCCTGTGTCTTGTCTTCGGCTTTATTCTGCGCCTGAGCTACTAGACGACGTTCAATCTCTGCTTCCGCTGCAGCCTCCGGGTCTTCCTCGATGTCACTCTCTACATTACTGACAGTAACAACAGATGAACTAAGCACTGGTGTCTCAAGGATTTCATCCTCAGCAGCGTCTTCAGCGCGTACTAACGCACTCACAGCGTGGCTTTTACGTGCTCCACGGGCCATCGATGACAACTAGTGAGTAAATGACTGTTTACTACTCCACCAATGGCTGGAATTGCTTTTGCCATGGATGTCACTATTGTGTATGCAGTTTACTGACTAACGAGGAGATTTGGTTGTAATGTGCTCCCATTAAATAGTGACTGTAGCCATTTCTAACATTACTGCAACATTGAGAGCGAAAAGTGCACTTTATTTATGAAAAACATCCTTTTAGCGTAAGATTCTATGTTCTTATGTTGCAACTAACAATTTTCGTGCTCACACTATAATTTTGTACTTTTTGTATTTCTGCTTTTCTAGCTCATGTTTACGTTATCATAATAAATTTACAAAACACGTCTCGATGGATGGCTACTCTTTAGTATAGGAGAGAGCACTGTGTAACATCAGAGGTGGTAGAGTGAGTCATTCCGACCAAAACAATCCTGCATGGGTCTACCAAACCCAGCACTTCTAGAAAAACCATTTGTCGTTTGATCGACCTCATCTGATAATGCTGTCACATCACACTTGAGCTCAGCTGGAAAAAAAGTGCGATACGATCACATCTCCATTGGAACAAGCAGCCTAACTGGAAACCGCTTGCAGTAGTGGCCACCGTTGCAAACATATCTGCGTATGTACGTCATGATAATTCATCGTCTCGTAGTAAGATCGATTCAAATGTGCCTTATAAACCAACAACCGTTCATCCAGCTTGCATTTCCGAATATGATTGTGAGTGATTGCGAAAATCACGACGCTTTCGCTGACCACCGGCATATTTTCGCGGACCACCGCCTCGCCATTTCCCGTTGCGGTTATAGCTGTTAGCGTAGTACGGCGGAAGGAAAGAAGGCGTACTGCACTGGGAGAACCCCATCTTTTCCAACTCATCCGCGTACTTTGCACGCTCCAGATCGGCATTGCTACGACCTAACCGAAAAACAAACTCAGGCAGCTCTTCCCAGCTTAACACCTTGGCATCAGCAACCATGTCAGGCTGCTTATCTTCCATCTGCTGCAAGTCTGTCGCCAAGAAAAAGCGAATGGTCTGCTCTAACGTTTTCTTCACCTCTGGGTCATCTTTCGGATGAATACTTTGATGCCGGCGATAGCGAAATTCGATGCCAATAAACATACACGAACCAGGACCCTCATGTTCGGTGTTGCATACATGAGGAAAATAACGCGGGAACGCATGCACTCGCGAAACTGGTGATATGTGGCAAAGGTTGTCCACGAGCTTCCGAAGTCGCGACTGAACAAACTTTCCCCACTTGTCCATTGAACTTTCAGATGCTGCCTTGAAGTTAAACATCATGTAGGAACTGTACCGGATAAAGAAATTTGACGTCTGGAACAGCTTGTCCCATGCACCTTCTTCATTTACTACATTCAACACAGCCTCTTCTTCACCTTGGGTCAATTGAGCTGTATTGAGCGGTTGATCGAAGGAAGGCAATGACGTAGCCATATACAGTGCAGCTGCTTTCAGGTCAGCATCTGAACTTTCAGGTGAAAAAGCAGCCGTAAAATATGGCTTCGAGATACCCACGGCAATCTCAGCCAAGTACCGTGCGCGCCACAATTCTTCATAAATTACAGAAAACGTTGACTGCGAGATTTGGACGGACGAATTCATGTGCGGGTACGCCGGCGTGATAATCGGCATAATATGCGATCGATCAAACACACTCTGACGCGGATCCCACATGTCAAACCCAAGTCCTGCATTGTAGATCATGTTCAACAGAACAGGTTGTGGCCATTGCCACTCTGAAAATACTTGGAAAAAACGCACAAATGTTTTCGCGGGCTCTGCGTTCGGATACAGTTGGCATACAAATGCAACCAAAATAGCCCAGCTAATTCCACCCAAGTACCCTAGCTTCGCTGAATAGATTCCTCGACATCGCGCCCATGCGCGCACGGCTCTCAATACTATTCGGTATTGACGACGTCTCGGCACTAAACAAAGCAACATAGAGCTGACACGCGGGGCATTCAAAGCCTTCATCGATGTTTCGTTCACGCCAACCAGGATGTGGTCAGAATCAATGTTTTGATTGGACTCTACACTTGACACAGGTAGTCGCGCGAAAAGTAAGTCCATCCGTACTCCCAAGTAGGATAGAGAAATAAGTGGCACATAAGCATTTGGTACAGGAGCAAGATGAGAAACCTCGGGTGTCTTTTCCAGTAAATGACAGAACGAACCAAAGAAGTCATCGTGGGTCACATACCACGGCGTTACACACACAGCATCGATATCGGAGTTGGGGTCATCCAAACCTAGACGATATGAACCAGCAAGAAACAAGGATCCCTTTGTCAACACAATGTGCTCTTCACTCAGCTCACGCTCGCGCCCAATCACTTTGACCCATTTCGTAAGGAGATCTGACAACTGCTTTAACACATGCAATTTGTGCATGCGAGCCTCAGGCGGGTCAGTGGGTGATATACTATCCACGTACTTTACAAATGACTGTAGTGCACTCGGATCCATTATAGGCTGAGTCGGGGTATCCACGACACTACCGACTGCTGGAACCAGGTGGCACTTGTGGTACAACACATCCCGTGCGTCGTCCAGTTGCCCTTTGCAAATATTTGCAAGCAGATTTTGCTGCAGCTGCGTAGATATCACGCCTTGCTGAGCTGCGCGCTGCACTGACCACGACAAAGCATTCGACTCTTCGTACTCTCGGTTCGCCACCAAATCTACCGACAAATTATTGATACGTTCCAGCAGCATATACGCCTCTTCATCCTCTTCTTCGCAGTTCGACAACATACTAAGCAGCTGGTCGTGTTCGTGACACGCCTCCATCTCGTTCAAGTCAGAACGACGATGTGAGCCAAAGTGAGACAGCGGACTGTACCGTGGACTCGGACACGAAGACTCGGCGGTAGACTCGCTATTAGTATCGTCGCAGTCTAAAAAGTCGTCGTCACTCTCCACTCCCTTGCGCGTTTGGTGTCTATTGCTTGTGGAATATCCAACTGTCACATCGTTTGACAAATCCCTTGCGCCTGAGCAAACATGCCCGTGGTCGATAGAAAACGAAGTGCTTGACGGAGAAGAGACGGACACAAAGGGACTATGTGACTGACAAACGCTGGACGTAATGCACCGAATATCGCCCTGTTTTCCCGTCTTTTTCGACAAACTGTCAGCTACTTTGACAGGACTGTTGCCACAAGATAAAATAGAGAGCGTTTCTTGGACATCAGAATCAAACGTTGCACTCCGTGACGCTGGTCGAGGACCACCACGATCTTCATTCAATCCATCATCTTCTTCCCGCAACGAGCTTGCTTCACACAAAGGAGCAAGTGAAGTCAATCCAGAGCTAGACACAGACTTACCAGCCCGTTGTAAATTCTCATTCGAGCTGCGTAGCACTTGTTCACGCTCGCACAGTTCTTCCAGTGGCGTCAGCTTCTTCATCGTTTCTACGTTTGCAGTAGGAATCGTATGATCGTCTTTCTGTCCGTAGTGTTTCCGACCAGCATGTGACTTGAGCGCTTCACAACGTTTCTTAAAGCTTGGACTCTCGACAATCTTCGCAATGCTACGAGAACGAATTGGCCGCGACCCTGTCATCTGCATCTTCTTCTTCTTACTATTGTTATTACTATGACTTGTAACCTTCAAAACGGACGTCTTAGCTGCTTGTTTGTTGTCTACTGAGACAAACGTCGATGAAGATGGTGGAGGACGGACTACGGCGTCTTTAAAGGTAAAAACACGCTCAGATGGTACGTGCATCGTGTCTTCTCGTGCTTGAGCAACTGTCTTATTGCTATCATGATGCAAAACCATGTTACTCCTTCTACTTCTTGCTTGATAGTATTCGACTGAAGAGATCAGCTAAATGCCGATGAAATGCGGCTCGTAATGCCGTTATTTCGACTGCTTTTTCGTCCACGCTTCGTCACACACAAAGGTCACAAGAGAGGAGAGGATGAAATGCACTAAGAGAAGGCAAATAGAGATGGAAAATGACAAAGAGAGAGAGGCAACAAACGCTCGCGAATGGAATGGACTTTGGGTTCAAGTAAGGCGTCGAGAGACAAACACTCAGGAGAAAAGAGACACACCAATACAAAAGACAAGTGAAAACATTTGTGTAATGGAGGAAGTAATAGGAACGCCACTGTTTCGAGGGATTTGTGTTTTGTGCCATAAAAGAGGAGGGATGATGTGTGTCAAAAGAGCTTCAAATTACTATGTCGCCTTGCCTTTTATGCTGTTTTTCCCTTCTGTCTTTTCTCTCTTTATTGGTTCGTTCATGCAAGAAACAACAACTTGAAATGCTGTCATTTGATTGATAGAAAATAACGTGTCATAATCACCACTAAGTCAAGTCAAAATCTACAGTATTGATGTGAAACGTACTTGCTTGACTTGTTGATTGCTGAGACACATTCATTCCCACACTGATAATGTAACGGATAATACTGACATCTGGGAAGAAAAAGAAAGAGTGATGGTCGTTGTCATTTGACTCGTTTCAACTGCACTAAAATATGCCATTCTACTATTCATATCTCATATTACTACAGCATATAGTAGACTTGATTTGTACATGAACTATTGATTCTCTATAGGCGACATGAAGATGGTTGTAATAAAGACTGGCAATCAGCATTAGTATCTTGCTTATGAGCCACTCACTATACGGTTATTGATTTATACTTACACCTTTTAGAATGTAGTAACGTTGCCTGAAGTAGTCTATGAGATGCCTTTAAAGCCGCCACCAGCGCAATAGTAACTGGCGTAAGATAAGCGTCAAGCATAAAGCATTTATGCTCTGAAACTTGCTATTGTCGAGAAATCGACGAGTACATGGACGTTTGGGTTCTCGCACGTGACATACGTCGTCAACCTCCGAATCATCTGCATCTTCGAGTCCGATTGTCAGCCCCCCCTCTCTCGACGGAAGAAGCATCAAGGTGATGTTGTCTTTGAAGACATTGCACAGATAGCCCCACAGTTGAAACAGGTGTCTACAGACACGTAGTTCTCAGCACTTGTAAGCTGCTTGAGCGATTGATAATTATCTATTTTTTCTCGTCATCGGACAAGATGATGGTCTCAGCTCATTGTTATCCTTGCTATGTTTGAGATATGCTCCATATGACCCAGTCATCAAAACGTCGAAGGCGCTGATGCCGACTGACATGTCCTTCTAGCTGACTGCTCAGATATCCGACTTGGAGCGTGGTAGTAAGGTACGTCGTGCAACTGCTTCAGTCGCTCGACTGCTTTATTTGATGTTTGCGGATTAGCTGACATTGCAACTATCGGAGCATACAGGGTATCAGGAGCCATGAAGTGATAGAAAGGTCGGAACAGGTCAGATGCAGGACTAGTTCTCTTGATTTGAGCAGTATGTGGCTTGCGGTCTGTCGATAACTGTGGTGACGAAGGGTTCGAGAATAGTCTCAATCTGATCCCTGATGTTTCGAAGATTCCACGACCAAGCGCAGGAGATGAACGTACGGTCACACATTCAGCTCCAGAAGCGGCTTCTGTCTTCTTTTTTATAGTACCAAGAGCAGCTTCGCCTGTATTTCTTGCTCCAAAATATCCGCATCTGAGGTCTTATGCTGGTCTAATCTTGCTGCTTTACATATAATAGTGATACGTATTGGCTACAGTTCGGGCAAACAAATTTCGGCTGGAGACGGATACTGCAACAGGGTCCATCCCCCCGTACCAACTCTTTCTTCATCGATTGAGCTGGTGCACGATTTGGAGCTGGTGTGCAACTGATATTGGACTTATTAATGCATGTAAACTCTTTAGTTAGTAAGCAATGGCGCTTTATTGGAGCAAGTTGTGCTGCAATAGCTGACGCCCGATAGTTAGTTGCTTGGTCTGTCACGAAGCTTGAACTTATCAGCAGTGATGTGCTTCAGCTTGATTTGGATCAGGTTTCGATCTGAGGAGAAATAAATATACCACTGAAACTATACTATTCAAGAGGTTTTGCTTTGGGAAAAGTATTGGCACAGGCAATTTGCACCCTTTCGGTATACGATATTGCAGGGGTTTTTTAACAATGAAATACAAGAATGGGTAAACGCTCTGGTCTGGAAAGCATTGCCTCGCTCTTAACTAATCTCGCTGCGTCAGCTTCAAGTACAGAGGGATTTTCAAAACTGGGCTGTCAATCCTAGCTCTTTGAGCTCAGTTAGTTGAAGTGCTGAGTCGTAGCAAGCAGCAGGTCACAATTTAATTTGTAGTATCGAAGCTACTCTTCCTTTCGAAGGTTCAAACCAGTTGATCTTTGATCGTTCTTACCACACGATGAAAGTCTTTCCAAGTATCATGGCTATTAGCGCCTTTATCACGACGCTTGTCTGCAATCCTCATACAGCTAATGCTAAGCGTATTGTGATGGCCGAGCCCGGTACAGAGCTGTTTACGCAATTCCGACCGGTTTACCACTTCCTTGCCCCTGAGAAGTGGATGAACGACCCATGTGCTCCGTACTACGATGAGGATACTGGTCTGTATCATATGTTCTACCAGTGGAACCCGAGCTCGACGATTTGGGGAAATATGACCTGGGGCCACGGTGTGTCAAAGGATCAGGTTACCTGGGAGGATTATCCGACTGCACTTTACCCATTCAAGGACAAGTGGGACAAACTCGGTGTGTATTCGGGTTTCGCAATGGACAATGCTATCGATGGTAAACAAACGATATTCTACACTGGTGTCACTGCTCAGCCTATTTTTTGGAAGAACAAATACTTGTATGGTGAGCACGTTTTGTACGCTACTACCAAAAATGGCGGCAAGACGTGGAAGAAGGGCAAAGAGCCTTTGATCAAGGCCCCACCGAAGGATCTCGATGTGACCGGCTGGCGCGATCCAATGCCGTTCCACTCAAAGTTACTGGACGCGTATTTTGGATACGACACTATCGTGACTAGCAATTATCTTATCGTTACCGGTGGTGTCCGTGATGTTGGCCCACGAGTCTTCCTTTACCACGCGGAGGACTACATCAACTGGGAATACAAAGGGTATCTTCTTGCACAAGAGAAAAACACATCGTTCTCCCGCTATAGTGGGAATTGGGGCTTCAACTTTGAAACTACTATCTACCGTGAAATGGTAGACGAGGACGGTGAGCGTCACAATGTGATGCTGTTGGGTGCTGAGGGTGAAGTGGATCGATACTCAATGTGGGCTACGGGATCGATTTGTGATAGCGAAGATGAGGCCCAAACGAACCCGGAGACGGGTTTATTTACTCCTTTGATGGTGGGTGTGTCGGACCGTAGCGACTGGTATGCCAATAGCATTTACACTAACAGGGATGGTAAGGATGTTCTTATTGGCTGGATCACCGAGGACAATGGCTTTACCAAGGGACAGCCTCAGGGCTGGAGCGGTATCCTGTCGTTGCCGCGTGAAGTGGGTATCTCGATTTTCCGTAATATCTACGACGCGGGCAAGCATCTGGTAGGCAAGGGCGACTGGATTGTGTCCGAGATAACGGATGTGTCGTGCGCTAATGGTTCGTCGAAGCAGAGCAAGACCATTAAGACCCTTGGTCTGAAGCCGCTAAGCGACCTGAAACTCTTGCGCAATGAGGACACGCTAGAGGAGATTGAACACGTGTGTGTAAACAGCTCATCAAAAGTGTTAGCATCGAGGGGTGCTTCGTTTGAGCTTATGGCTGAGGTTTCCGATTTCAAGCGCGGAAGCAAGGTTGGTTTCGAAGTCCGTCGCAGCTCGGCTGGAGACGAGGTCACAACCATCGTGTACGATGACGCGAAGAAGAAGGTGATCATTGACCGCTCAAAGAGTTCGTCTGCTGACTGTGCCGTTTTTGTCGACAATGACGTAACTCCCGTCTCAGACTCAATTTGGGGACATTTTTACCTGTATGACGTGTTCACTAGTGCTGCGAAGAACTGCCCATGTGAGGTCGTCCGTGAGAAACTGAGTTTCCACGTGTTCGTGGACGTGTCCAGTGTGGAGGTGTTTGTAAACGGCCGCTTTGCACTGTCAGCTCGTATCTATCCGTGCGCAAGTCAGACGCAATCGGACGGTATTGCTCTGACGACTTCGGAGAAGGCTACGTTTCAGAACGTGAAGGTCTGGACGAAGCCGAAGCACGCTTGGGCCAGTACGCGCAAGGTGCCGAAGAAAGTTTAGGTCGTTCAAGATACCCTGTGTTGCATTAGCCACAATAAGCACTTTAATCGAGCGCAAGAAGTGAATGCGTTCATTTTGTTGTTGTTGATAAGTACTAGTAGCGTGAAAAAAAAACACGTGGATAAAGTGTTCAAGTAGACACCACCTGTCAATAGAATTAGCTATCAGTAATATCGTCGAGAAGATTGCTAAGTGTGCAGACCGAGATATAAGCCGTATAATGAATGGAGCTTCAGCAAACTGCAGCCTGCATTGTGAGCCGCTTGTGTCGGAGTAGAAAGCTACGTGAGCAACCACGTCTCATACAGCTCAATGCTCCAGACTCTACTGCTGAAACGAACATTTTGCACCTTCGTCGTGAGCATCATTACCGAGCTTCTCTTATGTTTACAACGTATTAGCTGCAGCCACCAGCTGAACGCTTTTCGTTCTTCAAGCACTGTTGGAAGCGCCAGTGCCGACTGCATGCTTCTTTACTAGATAGCTCCAATGAGAGCGACAACTCCTGGGCTGTGGCACCATGGGTAGCACAACTTGTCGCCTCCTTCCTACGCAATATTTTTTGAGTCCACTACTTCTACGAAAGCCCTCCTGCAATGCAGGATGTTGCAGCCTCAGACTAAAAAAAACAAAACGCACTGAGAGACTGATCAGACATTGGTAGACAAGAGAAGAAATGAACCACCAAGCTGCTCATTCGGATGTGACAACGCGTAACGATATGACAGCTGTTGCAAATAGGTCATCCTTTGGTGGTAGCTCGAAACAATTAAGGTCGCCTAAAACCAAAGCGATGGTACTCGAAGAGTTCTTGTTCTTGTTGTATCCACTGATATCGATGGACCCGGGAAAAGAAAAGGTTTGCGACTCGTACTTTTACAACACAATACAGTACATCCTTAGTTTGACAATTACAGCATCATTTCGGCTAGGTACGATTGTAAAGTACGCAAAAGTAGGTCAGTCGTTCCAATCGATCGACGACGCACTTGTGTGAGTAGTAGAATCAAGTGAGGTCGTGTGCCAATAGAAAAGAGCATGTCAACCCCCAAGGCACGCAAGTTTATTAAGGTAGGCGGCAATGTCGGTATGCTCACGGGACGTCGTAATCGTCAAGAGACAATGTTGTCAATTCGTAAGTCGAAAAAGGAAGACGCTTACGCTACGCGACGTAATCTCAAGGCCAATCATTCACCAGCCGCTGCACAAACCGCGAGTCGCAAGGAACTTTTACTTAATTTGGCCTCACGGTCCCAGGCTTTACTACTTGGTATATTATCTCTATGATACAATATGTACGTAATAATAATAATAATAATAATATTGTTATGATGCTACTGTTACTGCTACTCAGGCATTCAACGTCCGGACGCACTGACGAGACAAAAGTCGATGCGTGCTTTTGTGTATCTACTGTCAAGCGGTGTACCGCCGCTTTTTGACGAGAGTGATTCACAGCATGAAGGTCTATGGTGTACTATCCTTGCTGCCTTGCCCTTGTTTGTGGCGATTCTGAATGAGGACCTGTCGGACACTATTGCAGTGCAGCTGCACTCGGACGCAGCCTTTGCGATGCGCTTTATTTCTTCCATGGACAAGGCCAGTGATGTGATTGCAACGGGTGCAGTTCCAAAGCTTGTGCAATTGTTTCAGTCAGGCATCTCAGAGCTACAGATTCAAGCTGCCTGGTGTCTAGGCAATATTGCATCCGCGTCGGCCGAGTGCTGTGAAGAGATCGTCAAATCGTGTCCACCTAATATGGTGCTGCCTCACATTCGGATGGCCACACCTGCTCTCCGGCGTGCGGCGGTATGGCTGCTACGTAGTCTTGTGGAGTTCCCAGATGTTATGGATAAGAGTGGCGTGATGGTACTAGACACGAAGCGAGAGATGATGGAGGTGCTGTCGAGCATTATCCTGCAGCTATCGAATAAAAAAGTAAGCAATTTTGTGTCAGCGAATGGTCAGGGTGAAGAGGCGATTAAGTTCAAAAAGGCTACGGCTATCGCGCCATGGCGGATCTTTGAGGTAAGTTCAATTGCTGTCATTATCTCGTTACATGTGAACGATGTACTGAGCTAACAAGTCATGCCTCTCCTAACGTAGGTCAACACGGGCAAGCCTGCTCCTAACGACATTGCCGTCGTGCGGTTTGTGCGTGAAGTGGATGATACGACCGTGGAGGTCATGGATGTCGACGTAAACTTTGAGACTGGCGAGAACATGGTATTTCGAGCAAAGAAGGTAGATATGCGGCCGCTGCAAGTCATGGATGATGCAATTGGTGAAGACGAAGACGAGGATGAAGAAACCGATCTTCTGGATGAGCAAGTACTCACGCTATGCGATAGCTGCTGGGCACTTGTTGAGATGACACTACACAACAGCGACGTTGTTAGTGGTATTGTCAACGCAGGTTTGTGTCCCCGACTTGTTGAGCTCCTTTACATTTCTCAAAGCAGTATCATCCTCGCACCAGTTTTGAGACTACTGGGCAACATTGTGTCCGCGGAGATTGTATTTTCTCAGGCCGTGATTGATGCTAAGCTGCTGGAGGTGATCCCGAGTGTAATGACCACTACCAGCCGTGCAGTGCGCGAAGAAGCGTGCTGGATGCTGTCAAACATTGCTGGCGGACAAGAAGAGCAGGTAGTCGCAATGATGAATGCTCCTGGAGTTATCGCGGGTTTGGTGGAGCAGATGTCATGGGCAGAGTATGGTGTGAAGCGCGAGGCTACGTGGGCCATTTGTAATATCATTGTGAGGGCTAACATCGAATTTGTGAAGGAAGTGTTGCATATGGGAGTGCTACAGTTATTCTGCCCGCTTCTTGACGAGTGGGAAGACCCAATGGTGGAGTTGGTTATCTTGGAGGCAGTTGAAAGCTTATTGCAGAAGGATCCACAGGAAGGCCGCATAGCAATTGAGGAAAGTGGATGTCTGGCAAAGATAGAGGAGCTATCTTACGATCAGAACGAAGACGTTAGCAGTATGGCATTGCAGCTGATAGACACGTGGTTCGATGGCGAGGTTGATGAGACGGACTCAACGTTGGCGCCGGACGTTGTGGGGTCTGAGCAAACCGGCGAGACGTTCACCTTTCAACCAGTGCAGGGTGACGTTCAATTCAACTTCAGCCAGAATTAAATAATAGGAAGTGCGCGAGTCGCAACGGGACCCAAGCCAACGTAAATTGCGGAGATGGTAGTAGTCTGCGTCGTTGCCAATGTGGTTTCAGTGTTATGTCTGACTTGAGTCGTTCGCTGGTCGTGTCTTAGAACCGTTACGGATACCGCGACTCTTGGTACCACGGCTGAAATCGTTACTGTACCGCTACTGATACCCTTACCGGTGCCAGTACTGGTATAGTAAAGTTCCGCGCGGTAGCGAGGAAATGAATCCGGTACAATTTGCTTCGTCTCTTAAAAAACATCAGCCAGCATCTGCTTTTCCATTGACAATACAGTTGCTGCATTTGCTAGCTTCAGACACAACTTCGCGAGGGTCTGCATATTGGACGATCTGCGTCTCCGAATTTGTAGATTCCTGACGACTCTTTCTGACGACAGTTAAGGAGATTACGTATGCAGTCTGTTTTTTGCTCTGACAGCATACGAGTATCATAAAACGTACATTAATACTTGTTAATCGAATGATATTACAGTATCTAATCGAGCTTACAATCAGTAATATACAAAAAAAATACAAATTCCACATTATAAAAAAGCTACGTAAGGAATGTCCTATACTATTTTGTATACGCTATCACTCAAAAAAATACAAAAACGTAGGTCAAAATTGGTTTTTTTCTTTATGTCGCCTGTCTCTTCCAGTTTTGAATCTGCCGTATTTTATTTATTCACGTGTCACAGAAATCGTCCAACTTCTTCTTCCCTAGTCGCTCTTTTCGTCCGCATTTTTTCATTCGATTCTTCTTCTTTACCTTGAATGATTGACCCTTTCGACGAGATAAAAAATGACCAACATGCAAATATTATTCATGACTCGAGTGAGTTAAGACTTGATGCATTAGTATTCCAAGATACAACAAAGGAGATAATTGGATCATCTCCTTCTTCTATCTCTTATACTACTATAGCTACTTCAAAAGCTCACCATATGGACGAAAAAAAACACACGAATCATCAAAGAGTAGCAGAAAAACACTCGACTGTCCTTAATATAGAGGATACAGGTAGTGAACGTTCGTGCACGTCGCATCGTGATCGATTTTTAAGTGATGCAGAACGTCTTGTAGCTACGGATCCATTAAAGACTCGAGAATCGTTTCTTCAAATTGATCACCAAAAGGATCAATGGGCCTGGCATGAGAAATCAGTACCGACGATACTCAAGGAATTGAACGTGGATACGAATTCGGGTCTTGACACTGCCATTGCTCATAAACGGCTGGAACTAAATGGTCTGAATTCATTGAATGCAGACAAAAAGATTCCTATCTACATTCTCTTTTTATTGCAGTTTACCAATGTTATCATTGGTCTACTTATGGCTGCAGCAATTGCTTCCATTGCTCTCCAAGAATACGTAGAAGGTCTAGCTATCATTGCTATTGTGACACTAAATGCAGTGATAGCTACGATCCAAGAGTATAATGCTAATAATGCTCTTGAAGCGTTACAGAAGATGACATCTCCACAATGCGTGGTACTACGTGACGGTGGCCGTCACGTGCAAATCCCCAGCGAACAACTTGTCACGGGTGATATCGTCGTATTGACTACAGGTGACGTTGTACCTGCTGATATTCGCCTTATCCTGAGCTCCGATTTCAAAGTCAATGAAATGATATTGACTGGAGAATCTGAGGATGTGCTCAAGAAGTATGACGCAGATATGAGCCGTAGCGAGAAGCTGACAGCAGACAACATGGTGTTCACTTCAACACTAGTTGCGACTGGAAACGCTGTTGGTGTTGTTGTGGAGACAGGCATGTCTACACGCGTCGGATCCATTGCAATGTTACTGAAGGGAAGGAGCAGTGGCGTTGATGGCTCGAAGCGTCTTAACTGCTGGCGCAGATTTATTGACAAATACTACCCGAAGATGACTCCCCTGCAGCAAAGTCTACACAACCTCGGTGTCTTCATGGGAACCATTGTACTGGGTATCTGCGTAATTGTCTTTATCGTTGGAATGGTGCGTGGCAACGCAGACCCCGAGAACCTCGATCGCGCTGTCTGGCTTAACGTAGTGATGATTGCGGTATCGCTAGCTGTTAGTGCTGTGCCTGAGGGTTTACCGATGGTAGTCACTATTTGCTTGTCCACCGGTACGGCCGACATGGTGGAAAAGAACGTCCTCGTTCGAAAACTTGCTGCGGTCGAATCGCTTGGTGCTAGCTCAGTCATTTGCACTGACAAGACTGGCACTTTGACGGAAGGAAAAATGACGGCGGTGAAAATGTGGAGTGACTCGGTCGTGTATGATATCACCGGTACGGGTTTTACTCCTTCCGGCGACATTCTTTGCGATAGTGTTAGCCAGATCCAGGAGCCATCAATATCAATTCCAGTGTTTACGACGTTGTTGTCAGCGGTGCTATGTAGTAACACGAGCTTGCAGAAAGAGGAGAGCGATAGTGGCAACCCAATTTGGGTCCCAATGGGTAATTCCTCTGAAGCCCCGCTTGTTGTGGCAGCTGCCAAAGCAGGAATCTGGCGCGATGAAGTTATGAAAATGTACCCTCGACTGACGGAGGTGCCGTTCTCATCTACGAGAAAGATGATGATCACCGTCAATGAACTTCCGGCTGGAGAGCCGCGTTTGGGCTTGCTGCAATTTCCACCCAAGACAATGATGATTGCGAACGTGAAGGGAGCCCCAAATTATATTGCCAAAAACTGTACTCACATGCTACGTCAAGACGGATCGATTGCGACCATGCACGAACGTGATCGCGATAACATCTTGGAGGCTGTGGATGCGCTATCGTCTCAAGCACTCCGTGTTCTTGCTGTCGCTATTCGTCCATTGGAGAGAATGCCATTTTCGAGTGATGAAGAAGATGTGGAGGTGAAGTTTGAGGCTCTATGTGAACCTCTTATCTTTGTTGGCCTCGTTGCCTCCATCGATCCTCCTCGAGCTGGGGTGGCGCAGGCTATTCACACTGCTCGCCAAGCATCCATTCGAACTGTAATGATCACTGGAGACTATCTGAAGACGGCAATCGCTATTGCTTGCGATATAAACCTACTACCATCAGGTGCTGACGTTGAAGTGCAAGCTGTAGATTGCGGTGTGCTACGTCCGCATCAGAGCATGTATTTACCCGATGCAGAGCTAGATGAAATTACGAGTCAGGTGTCAGTGTTTGCTCGCGCAAAACCTGAAGACAAGATTGAGATCGTCAAGTCTTTGCAGCGCCAAGGTCACGTAGTAGCGATGACTGGTGACGGTGTCAACGACGCGCCCGCGTTGAAGGAAGCCGACATTGGTGTAGCAATGGGAATTACTGGTACAGCTGTTGCCAAGGGTGCTTCAGATATGATCCTGATGGATGATAATTTCTGTAGCATTGTATCCGCCGTCGAAAAGGGCCGCGAGATTTATAGCAACATCCAACGTTTCGTGTGTTTTCTGCTGTCGACTAACTTTGGTGAGATTGCTCTCATTTTTACGGCTATTGCCGCAGGCATGCCCAACCCTCTGGAACCTTTGCAAATTCTGGTGCTCAATCTTTTTGCTGACGGTATGGCTGCTGTGGCTCTCAGTCTTGAGAAGGGTGATGATACTGTAATGTCGGAGCGTCCGCGTCCCCGTTCAGAGCGCATCATTTTTGGTCGTCTCTGGGTTATCGTGCTATCGAATGCTTTGTTGATTGCAATTGGCGCACTGATAGTCTTCACGTGCGGACTCTACTGGAATTTTGAGAATGTTTTGTTCGATGACATCGTCGCTGGTGTTGATACTGACAAAGGTGCAGAGGCTTACAGGAACGTGATGTGTTCTCGCTGGATGGGGCTGGGCAATCCGCGGCAGGTATACAGTAATTGCGGGGCACGGGATCTAAACGGCACTTATTTCTTTGCTGAAAGCATCCGTGCTTTAAACTACTATGAGAGCGACGAGTTGCTGTGCTACGGCGGGAACTACGAGTGCGTGTCGGACGGCACCTCGCGCGCGCAAACAATGGCGTTCGTCTACATCACGACCATGGAAATGCTTCGTGCCTATACAGCACGCAGCTTCACGAAGTCGGTTTTCAAGGACATGTTCAGTAACAAGTGGATGCAGATGGCCGCTGTGGGCTCGCTGGTGCTGACCCTCTCTGTCACGAACATTCCCGTCATCAACGATGATATCTTTGGCTTTGCACACATTGAATGGTACGAGTGGATGTTCTCGATGGTCTTTGCCCTAGTCATGGTGGCTTTTGGTGAAACACTAAAGGGTGCGTACCGTCATCGTGACCGCGCAAAGCTTCACAATGCCGCGGTAGAGCGCGCGGGTATGGTCAATGAACTCCGTTCCTTGCGACACCATACCGAACCGTTTGAAAGTAAATGGGACTCCGAGATGAACCCGCTCCGCATTTGCGTTGGCAACAATCCTGTCTTTCCTTCTCCCAATGGCAATTCAACGCTCATGTCTTCATTTGGCTCCAGTGAAGAGAGGTCAATGCCGGGTAAGTAAGCTTTTACGAACGCGCCGAGCCTCCTTCGTCGTTGTTCGAGGAAGGCGGAGCAAAGCATAGCGAGAGATAATAATTAGCAGATAGTGATAGGTTGCACCAATTGTGTACGAGTGAATGGAGCTCCTGTTTTGATGGAAACAAACCGAGATGTTTCGGGAGAACATGCCCATGTATTTTTTGTAGCTAAGTTTGCTGAGACGACATGCGAACGCAATATGGACATGCGCTCGCTACGGTTAGTTTGTTGTCTGCCAATTTGATCGATACAAAAGGGCCTAGCCAGTTCGTTACATGACTATGGTACCTGGATCAGGAATACTAGCTGAGATGGCTTTATGCGGCAGGACAAGACCGCCGTTAATAAACTTCTCGTCCTTCACCTGCACATCCTCTCCGACGACGGTATTTCCTTCAATCCGACACTAAAAGTAGAGCGAGCATATAAAATGATTATCATGTGTTTCTTAAGATACGTCAAGAGCAAGATGACAGCACGTACCCATCGGCCAATCGTTGAACCCCATCCAATAATGCTTGAATGAATCCACGAGTTCGCGCGTACCGTTACCCCACGAAGAAGCGTCGTCCGGCTGAGCCGAACACCTACCAACAACACAAATGCAAAGGATAACACATCAAAAACATTTGCCGGAACATGCCAATGTCTACCAAGATTCACGCACCATCTTCAATAACACATTCAGGGCCGATGACGACGTTGGGGCCAATCAAACATCCATTACCGACTACCGCAGTAGGATCGACCATTACGTTGCCAATGAAGTTGGAGCCCGTCGACAGCAGATCCCCTTTTTTGCGCCCCAAAAAGTCCAAATGCAGACACATACCCGACAAAAAATCCTTTGGCTGGCCAATGTCCATCCAGTAACCAGGTAGCACCATTGAAAACAGATTTCCTTCTGCTGCCATCTGTGGAAAAATCTCCTTTTCAATAGATGTCGGACGTAGCTGAATACGATCTAGCACTTCACGATTGAAAATGTAAATGCCTGCATTAATCTTGTTGCCTACGTACTCGCGCGGCTTCTCGACAAAGCGCTGAATCTGTCCATCGGTGTTGGAAATTACTACGCCGTACTTGGATGGTTCATCCACTCGGGTAACCAAAAGAGTCCCCTCTGCCCCATGTGCTTTGTGAAAGTCTAGCAACTCCTGAAGTCGGTACTCGCAAATAACGTCACTGTTAAACACAAAAAATGGATCGCCATCATCCAGTAGTTCTCGTGCTAAAGCTAATGGACCAGCAGTACCCAATGGTTCCGTCTCATGAGAACATGAGATCTTGGTTTGATACTGTAATAGAGTGTGAATACAAATACAACAACAAGAATCATCATCATCATCAGTCAGATACATTGCCACGTGTCCCGAGTGTCCTCGTCCTCATCAGTAGATCAAGACCTTTTTTTCTATCGACTCCAATGCCGCCAACATTACTTGAGGTTGATAATTTACAGCTAAAATTACCTCCGTGACTCCAACCTATAGTGAAAACAAGTACATACAAGAGACAAAGAGAACAAACACTTTTGTCAATCAAAGACGATATGTCAAAGTGTTTTAGCTAGGTGTTAATGAATATTTTATACCGCTACGAGCGCTTCAATCTGGTGTAAAACAATTGATTTGTTACAGAATTCGACTAAGGGCTTAGGACACGACAGTGTAAGTGGTCGTAGCCGCGTACCAAAGCCACCGACGAGGATGAGCGCTTTCATTTTTGTATTGTTTTATTTCAGTCGTTTTGTTTTGACTGCGTGGGTGTCTTGACTTGGAATTTGTATCGAATAGATCGAAGAAGTTTCATGTGTATCACATGAAACGGATGTGAACCACATAATTTTAATGACAGACAACTTCAACATGTAACAGCATAGGTTAGGAAAAAAAAACCTAAACTTGAGAGCGGACACTTTTGCCTTGGTGATATACGTCTGCGACATGAAATATAGTGTCAAAGCGTACGGTTGTTGCACAAAAATGAGGCAATTGTTGATGACTGTAGTGCCTCGTCTCCATAGAAGCGTTTGTATAAGTTTAAATGCCATGCACACTACATTTCTTTATCTTATCGAGCTTAGTGGATGCTGTCATCTGAACCGGAACTTTGCCTCGCTAACGTCATCATCAAATTGATATCCAAGCTCTCTTGTCATTCAGTTTTGTCCGGAATTGACGCCCGTATTTGACAATTCTTGTTGTTTTTCCATCATCTGACACAAGTTTCACAAAGAAATAAAACAAGGACGAGAGAACTGTCACTAAGGCGACATGTACGACCTCATACATGGTGGATGCTACAGACCTTTGCTTGAACTTCTTGCAAACACTTCCAACCGAAGAGAATGCGTTTTGAGATCGTCTCACCGTCCTAATGCAATAGTATAATCGGAATATTACATTAAGGTTTATATTGTCATTTTTCAATGTGAAATGAGTAAGTACCGTCTCGTAACGATTCTGCTCGATTTCCATCCGTGCATTCTTCTGCAGCACCGATGACCAGAGTTGACCTTGTTCATTGTGGTGTGAGAACAGGCGCGAAATACGCAAGATCTCGCGGTACAAACGCAGCACCTCCTTCCTTTTGTCCAGCAGAACCATAAATGTATTCAATTGAGTCGTTCAATATCTGATAAAGTTTACAGACCACACTTCATTAATTAAACGATATGTTGTGTCTCGTTCCGAAATTAATGTCATACGATAAGACATTTCCTTAACCTAAGTGAAATTTCCTGAATGAGAAACAATAAAAATTGTATGTAAACCTTTTGAAAAGTATACACGACCGAGTATAAGTGTATAGCTAATATGGCTTAAGAACAGTTACACACATAAGTCGAGCATAGCGATGAAAAGAGATGAACAAAAGCGTTTTTGACACGCTTCATCCAGCAATAGTACAGCCCAAAACCAGATCATTCATCTCCTTCCAACCTTGTCCATATCGTCCATTATTTCACGGTCAAATGCAGGTTCCAAACGGAGATCCTTGCATCTTTTTATGACCTTGCGCATCTGACGCTGTTTTTTCTTACTCAGTATCTTGATTTCCGTTCCAGCTGCGATCTGTATCTGTGTACTGAAAGCACTTTCCAGTTGATCAACCTCGCCGTCTGCTGGATCGGTAGACGACGTTGAAACGACACGTTCTTTGTCACTTGCTACAGGAGTAGCGTGCGTGTGCCATCGCTACAAGATTAAAGATAAGCTCAGCACAGCTCTTAGTCACCCTGTCACAACAGAGACTATCAACTGTAGAGTCCACACAGACACACACCTTGGCAAAGTCTGCGTAGCGAAAGCCGTTGCAGTCAAGCTCAATTGAAAGCGGCAGACTGTTCAGATCGATGGGGTCTTTTAGTGCTCGTACACTGTCATAGTGGTCTTCGCCGTGGTAGGCGACGTGTACAAACCGCGTAGGCTTAAGTTGGTCGCACTCAATGACCATTATTCGAGCATTTAATTGGTTCTGGTGGACAACCACGTACATCTGAAAAAGCCGAGAAGCAGCGTACAGCTCCTGGTTGCCACCCCACGTGCCATCACCTCGCATCCTGTCACAGTACTATTTGCAATACCATCAGCTCATCATTGTTTCTTTTACACATAGAGTTGTCGGTAGTCGGGCCACCTTCTCAAACTTTTCCTCGTCCTCCATGAACGGCTCAAAGTCATTCCGATGCTTCTCCAAGTAATCTATAATTTTCTAGATGACACCAAGACCCAAAAAAAACACATTACAATGAGCATGAAAGCAATGCCAGTCACGTGAGAACTTGTAAACTTCAAAATATACATTGCGAACTTGTTTATGTTGCTGTTGGTCTCCAAAAAGCTGATCACTTAGTGCTCTGCAGCAAGAAATCAATATGTTATAAGTGTTTTGACCTGCTATCATCCATCGTAGGTTCATGATACTGATAACGTTACCGAAAGAGACAATTACCATCGCCCTCGACCTCCTGTAGTAACAAAAACAGGTAAGAAAAACCTATGCAAAAGGTGTTATCCACGAGAAATACAGTAGTCAAAAACTTACATGTAATTTGCAGCCAATATCAGCCAATTGCTTTCTTATACAATTAAGACCATCGTCATTTAACACGTTTGTCTCTTTTTTCTGAGTCTGAGTCTGAGTCTTGGCATTGGTAGTGTGAATACTAATTTTCTGGTGATCAAAAGCACAAAAAAACACGCACAAATGGATTAGAAAGCAAACTATGACAGTGTATTAATCCATTAAAAAGAAGAAGCAACTAGGGATTGACGCACAGGAGCCTTCTTGGTCAGCTTCGTATAGGTTTTACGTCCCATTCTAGGTACTACTTCATGTCGTTTTTTACCTACAAACCCACTCGGATCGAAGCTATAAGTCTGTAGCTTTCATTTCTAACCGTTAGAAATGATGTATTTTATAACAGCTTTTTATCCAATCGCGTGTGATTACGAGCCGCAACCAGTCAATCTCAATTCCAACAGAAGAAAATGGTTGAAACCCGCCGTACGTCGCGACGTCTTCAGGCCAAAGCAGCGGCCGCTGACGCGAATTCTTCTCCATTACCGATGAAATCTCCATCAGCTAATGCTAACAATGACTGTAAATTACGTCGAACACCATCACCATGGAAGAAAAAGAAGATGAAAGAGGAAGAAGAAGACAAGAAGAGGAAGGAGAAGGACGTAGAGGATGCAATATATGATCGAAAGAATGAAGAGACGTCAAATCAAGAGGCAGATACTGCTATGAGTGAAGATGAAGACGAGACTGTGGACCGATATGTACGTGTGTTACATACCTAGGATATCTCTATTGGATCTGGCTGACTGACTGACTGACTGACTGACTTGATGATATTTACTGTTTTAGGCTTTACTTGCTGCGTCGGGGCTTAATTTGCCGATGAAACAAAATGAATCTTCTTCATCAGTTTCTTCTTTGCTATCGATTAAGACTTCTATCTCTGCCAGGTTGTCGATGACTGTACCTTTGAAGCGGCGGCTAGTACCGAATCAGCTCGACAGTGGTGCGTCGAAGTACCAGGAATTCTTTAATTTTGATGGTACGAGACGATCCACGGCGGCCGCACTGCGTACTGATGCCAGGGCGTTGGAGGAGGCAAAGCTGATTGCAGCCGGCCAAAAGGCCGTTGCTCACTCGGAGCGACAACGTGCTGAGTCTCTTCACAAAAAGTCGGCAGGACGTCGCTGGTTTAATTTTGAATCGGAGGAGATGACGGCTGACGCACGTCGCGATTTCGCTTTACTGCGGATGCGAAATTACTTGGACCCAAAGAAATTTTACAAGAGTTCGGATCACTCGCGTGCACTCCCGAAACATTTTCAGATGGGTGTTGTCATTGAAGGCGCGCATGAGTTCCACTCGGCTCGCCTCACAAAGAAACAGCGCCGCAAAACCTTTACGGACGAGATTATGGCAGACGAAGCTGTAATGCAGTACACTCATCGCGTGGCCGGCAATATTCAGGCAGCGCGCAGTAACCGAGACCGTAAAAGAAGAGACGTCACGAATAGATAGAGCGTAAAGTTGCTGGTCTTTTGGACCATATCATTATCACCTGCAAGCATCACTTGTGATGTTGTGTGTCTTCGTCTTTCGGTTGAGACTGTTCACTCACAACATGATGGTTGCTAGATGAGATTTATTTCAGCGATGGTTTTTTGCCATGCAGACGTTAACCCGCATCTTACTTTGAAATTTCCATGCGCAATTCTTTCAATCAAATTTGTGACCCGTTTTACTGGACCTAGTCAAGAACGAATCCATAAATGACTTGGCAGAACCCCTTGACATTTTGTCGTCGCCAGCGTCATGTACGCGGTTCGCTGCTGTGTTCAGCGACTAATGGCTTTAGCATCCATGCAAAATGAGCTCTCATTTTTTGAATTACAAGCTGGGAATCACTCAAACAAATGGTCATATCGACCGAATGGATGTATAAGTGGCGGGTCTACGCAAACGTATTGAAACGCATGTGGCTAGACGGTGGGCTTCGACGCGTGATTCTTCGCCTCCTTTTTGGTAGTGCTACCGGTGCATTGGTCGTAGCAATTCTTCACATCGCTTTCAAGGGACTGTGCAGCACTCCATGGGAAGCTGTTTGCTTGTTGGTAAATTTGGTTGCTGTCGTAAGCTCGACTATCTTTGAGTTCGTGACGCGGGGTTGCAAACCCAAATTCAAGAATTGGACGCTTAGCTTTGAGATTTTACGTGCTGTCATCCGAGAATGTTCCCGAAGTCCCCGTGGCGAACGAATGGTAATGATTGCGAAGCATGCGCGTGCGATCCGATCGCACAGTGCTGCCTTTGGTACAGTCCTGGGGTGGCTCGCTTGTCGTCAGCATGGCCGACGTATTCAAGCTGTGCATACTAATGGCCTTGAACATATTTGGCTTCGACCTGCAGCGCCGCTAACACCCACGGCCAAGCGCTTCGTGATACTCTATGTTCACGGTGGTGGGTGCACGATCATGAGCCCCAGATTCTACATTTCTTTCGGAGTATCGCTCTCCGTCGCGATTGAGAAGGAGCTTTGTCAACAACTTGGCAATCAAGACCCTGTCCAAGTCGACGTTTTTCTAGGGAACTACCGAAAGGCACCTGAACACTGCTTCCCTATACCCCCTGAAGACACAGTCATTGCATATAAATACCTGCTCCACACAGAGGGTATTCCTCCGGAGCAGGTCATTCTTGCGGGTGACAGTGGTGGTGGTGGACTGGTGATGTCCACACTGCTACGAATGCGAGACTCGGACAAAGAGCGCCTGCCTTTGGCTGCTATCCTAATTTGCCCCGCTGTAGATTTGTCAGAGATCGAAACACACGGTGATCCGGAGGCATCATCAGCGCACTGTCTGTTATCTCCAGCGATGATTGCTGCTGGACGAGTGGGTTACCATACGACATCAGCTGACCCAACGACTTGGTTAGACGCTTCATCCGTCCATTGTGATCTGCGTGGACTTCCACCTGTTTTCGTGCAAGCTGCTAGCCTCGACTATATTTACCAGCATTCGGTGCGACTTGTTAAAAAAGCAGAGAATGACGGTTTGACGGACTGGGAATTAGATGTGCATGAGAATCTTCCTCATGCTTTTACTGTCTTTCCGTCCTATGTGCTCCCGTATGCGCAGATTGGTGTGCGAAGGTTGGCATTTTTTGCTGCAAAGCACTTTGCCAAGTCTTTTTGTTCTGTTGCCACGAAGAAGGATGTAACTGCGAATGTACTCTAGTTTTTATGCGGTCCTTCTTGCAGAAGCGTTTAAGAAGTACTTTGAGAGGCCGAGGATGTATTCAAGTGTGTATGCACATGTATAAAAATAAAAACGAGCGTAGCGAGTGACGTAGACTTGGCACAGGATACTAAAATCTAGCTGGT